TGAATATCGTTTGAGACTGTATTTATTCAGCTGGTAATTTCCCTTCGAATTTGTTGCAGGATGAACCTGCACAAGACTACACAGGTAATAGGTAGTGCAGTTTCTTTTGTTTATGGAAATATTTGGTAGCATCCAGCACCATTCATCGTTAACTTCAAGTTCTGCTCAGTTATAAATTTTAATTTGTCATAAAGGTTGACTAGCCTCATTTTTCATAAATTAAGCACAATATTGGGTTCATTATCATATGTATTACTAAGACAGAGGTCGAGAGAAATATCGTTTTCCACTTTCTAAGCCAATTAAAAGTCTGACTCAATCCAAACATAATTTTTACATTTTACTTTTATGACTTAGTCATTAAAGTTTTTTTAATGTAACCTGGCTTAATAAGTTTATTCTAACACCAAGTTCTTTATTCTTTACTGTAATCAAAAGCCATGCCATTTAAAAATAACTCATATCATGTTCGAGCAGTGTTGCTCAAGCATCAAATTCAATGTAAGACCCTGAATCTGCTGTTGCCCCGAAGAGAAAACATTTGCCTTTAAATTTAAAAATATAGAATTGAGTTACTTTTGAAATTGAGAGACGTATTACGTTTTTGCATCTGCCAAAACGTCAGAAAAATCCAAACGCCAATAGCAGGAAATGAAAGAAAATTTAGCAAGCTAAAACATTTAAAATTGCTTTTCAAAAGTCCATGTCACATCATTGATTGTAAAACTCAATTTTTTAAACAGTTAAAGAGACATTTACCGAATATGTTTGTAAGGTAAGTTTTTATGACAGTTTATATATATTGTCATTATTGAAAAATGGATACTTAGGTTTTTTTGTAGATCGCCTTGTTCAATATCTTTTATATGAGTTCTCCTTAATCGGGTAATGACTACATACTTATTCATGATAAATTTTCAGTTAACTTATTTGTAGGGCTAAGCAAACACCTGCTCGTTCTTTTGGGACATTTTAACTTTTATTTATCTATTTAATAAAGAAAAATATAAATATTAGAGCCCAACAAATAATTTTGAACATAGTCATAAACAATTTGGTTTTGTCAAATTTATTAAAATAGTGACGTCTCGTCTTGACTAGAAGAGGGATGGGGCTGCTTTGGGTGTTAAGTGAATGTTTTAGTTTCGAGAAGAGGAGGCTTTCGTAGATCATGAGGTCAAATGAGTTGGCGCAGGATGAGAAGAATTTGAAGTCATCTGGTGAAGCAGGGTGTTTGGAGGAATTACTATGAGAAAGAACACTTGACATTAGTAGGTTAGTATAGCGTTTTCCAGTCACAGGAGAGATCCCCAAGTGTTCTGAGATTCTGGTGTGTAAGTGTGTGTGGTTTGACTCAAATACGACGCGGAACAGCATCGACATGTGTATAAATAGTCAACACCAGATCTCAGATACTTGGGAATTTATCCTCTTGATTCGTGTGAAGGTTCGAAAGACGAATCTAACATTGAGATGGGGGAAAGCAGCGTTGTAGAGACGATTGATTTGTATGCGGATTTGTAAAGAGTGACAGCCGGTGAATGGGAGACAGAAATACACTATTTTCTTTGGGACACTAAGGACAGGTGGTTTCTGTTCGAATTTTGTGTCAAGGAAACTACGGACAATGTGGTCGAACATATTTGCTGGATAGCAATTAAGTTTGAATAGCTTTCTAGTTGTTTCAATTTGAGCATGAAAAGTGTCATAACTGGAGCAGAGGTTGAAAAACGTTGTAATAGGCGTAAACGAAAAATTAAGTTGCGTTTGTAAAAAAGTGGGATATAGCTGTGAAAGTTGGTGAAAAGACCGTTGAATGTGGGTTTACAATATGCAGTAGTGGTGAATTTGTCGTTTGAGCGGTAAATGTCAATGTCTAAAAATAGCGGTTGTCCATTATTTTCTGTCTCAGAGGTGAAAGTGATATTGGGGTGTTGATGGTTGATGTAATCTAAAAAGAGAGGAATGTGATCAAGTGATTTAAAAAGGAAGAAGCAGTTATCGAAATATGTTCTGTAGAGAATAAGTTTGACTTTGTGGGGGCTGTTTTTATCTAGTTTTGTTCATGGAAATACATGAATATGTTGACAAAAAGAGGGGGAAGCACTGTTAAAAATTAATGTTAAAACTACCAATTTTTCTCCCAGCTACCAATTTAAATAAGTTAGTTTACCATATATTTTATTGATAAAACGGAATTGGTCGTTTTGACTAATTCTTCTTACGTTAGAACAACGTCATGTTTATTGGTAAACAGTTTTTAACCAATTGTTGAATGTTCGCTTTTGTCATTGCAATGTGTAATGACCAATATATAATTGGTGAAGTTATAATTGAAAATGGCGGATTCGAAAAGTTATAGCCCTACTCAGTGTTTTGAGCGTCTATTCATTTCATTGTTTGTTGCAAAACTGGCATGAAAACTGACATAAAAAAGCATTTAATTAATGCATACACTGGTTTGTAGACAAAAATTGCTAACGTTTTTACGTAAACAGTGCAAATAAAAAAAACAAACGTACATCATTCTCACGCAAAACATAAATCCAAAAACCTTTGTCAAAAATTTATTTCAAACACCTATTAAAAGATTTCGTTGAAACACTAGATTTCTTAGTTAAGCTTGCACGCTTGCTGTTTACGACAAGGATGGAATGCCCCGTTTAGACACACCTACAAATGTCACAGTAACATGACAACTGACAGCCAAGCCCAGAAGTATGGCGCGGTATATTGGACAAATCGATGTTTACTCTTTGAGACGATCAAACACTCATTTGATGTGATACTATGCACATTTAATACAATGTTAAAGCACTTTTGTTTGATCATGGTACACCTTTCATTTGATCGAAGGCATGGGATAAGCAAAAGAGCATGTGTCAGCAGTTAATACCTCATGGCTTATCAAAACTTCATTTTGTATTGTACAAGCAATTTTATATTGTATATAATACGAATATAATGGCTTTGCGCGCGAAGGGATTCAATTTACCACGGGCGGAGAGGGAGGCTGAGCCTGCAGACATTCACTAGTTAGAATAGTAGATTTAAAACACATACAGCAAAAGAACAATAATTAAATATTAATACATCTCTTTGATTATGCGGCATAAGACACGAAACGCAGGTTCAACCAACTCATGAAATATTTTAAAAAAGCTTTGCCAAAATTACACTGGCAAACGTACGCAGCAAAATATTTTGTTATTAATTATACGGTTTTTACATCTCGTATTAAGACATCATTCAAAATTTGTAAAACGTTCATAATCCATAATCTTAACATGTATTTGAGACAATTGACAAAGGCAACAAGCTGTTAATATAGTGAACACCAACAACGGCAGAGTCCGCGGAACCGGGGAGCATTGGGGGCAAGTGCCCCCCCACTTTTTACAACAGGGAAAAATTTGCCCTTTTTCATGGTGTAGAAATGCCCTTGTTTTAGGTAAAATTGGACTGAAGAAGTTTTTCTTAGATACAAGTAGCCCCGAGAGTAGAACAAAGTCTGTTGGCATCATGCGAAATCAGCTATAGCTTTGTTTTTGATCTTGATCTTGACCTAGTTTTTGATCTCTGGAGAACTTTTTTTTTCATGCCAGCGGCTTGTCAAGACACATCTCAGGAGCACAATGACGGCAGCACGCTACAATAATCTTATTGTTATGCATGTAAACAAGGCAAGAACTGACGAACTGGACTTACGTTTAATAGCTAAGGACTTTGTTCTGAAAAACGAAAGTAGGGTTAGATTTTTTGGGAAATTTTAATGAGATCGCTTTACTTAATAAAGTTGTTCATGTAGTCATCTTAGTTCAATTTGTTAGCACGCACGCCGAGCAGTAGAGAATACGCATAGCATTCTAAGAATGTCTACCAATATTTTGCAGACTTTGAAATGTGTGAATGGTGATAATAACAATGTAATAGTTTTTAAAAGAACTGTTATAACCAGAACACTAACCCAACAATTCAAAGGAACCGTTATTTACAGCTAGAAAGAGACACTATGCATTTCGGCAGACTACTCATCAGGTGTCAACGTCTGCTAAATGAGAACCTCCAAACCATGCTATATTTATAACGTTACAAAAGGTCAATGTCATCCCTATTTTTAGAGATGACACTTAAAACAGAGACAGATTAAACACGTAATCCTTTTGTCGGCAAAGGACAGGATTAGTCAATTTAATTCATACCGACTCCATGACGCGTAGCTGGAATAACGAGCGACATTTTTTAATAATTTTAAAGTTTTCATCAGAATAAGCATTGGCACAGCGAGTGTTGCTTAAAAGATGTTTTCCAATCGCTGAATCACATAGAATCGTATTTTCACTTTTACACCCACGTTTTGGTAGTTGTCGTAAAGGAACAGTTTTATTCCTGACACAAGCTGGTACATGCTGTTTTATTTTTCACTCAACCTTTGAGAAGTCCTACCTACATAGCGAGCATCACATTCACACTTACACTCGTTGATTACATTGCTTGATATTTGAGCAGGGAGAGATTCTTTGGGAGTGGGTGGAAGAATAGTTCTTTTTGAGAATATAAAGACCACATTGCATGCAAAAAACAAACTCTCAGTGTTCTTTTTAGTTTCCTTCTCGATGTCATTAGAGGCCTTACTCATCCAGGGAAGTTTAAGGAAAACATGGCACTTGGCCGGTCCGAAAAGTTTATTCCGTTCATTGTTTGTGGATAAGAAAAGTTTGTCTAGCAACTTTTCCGAATATCCATTTAACACAAAAATATTCTTCAGTGAGATGAGATCACTATCAATAAACTCTTTTGAGGACAATCTATGCGTTTGTTTATCAAACACTTCAAAAAAGAAATCTTTTCTCTATGTGAAGAGAAAGAGTCAAAGCGTGTGTACAAACCAGTGAAGGTTGCTTTGCAATGAATGCTTGTTAAGAACTGACCATTGCGTTTGTGTACAAGAACATCTAAAAAAGCTAATTGATTGTTTGACTCTAGTTCAGAGGTGTAATTTAGTGCAGAGTAAGAGAGCAAAGTTTATTAAGAAAAAGTGCACGATTTCTATCGTTATGAAACAAAGAAAAAGTGTCATCCACATAACGCTTATACCACAGCACATCCGGACAATCTGAAGATGCAAGCATTTTGCATTCATGATAGCCAACAAAAATATTTGCAAGAACCGGTCCAAGTGGAGAACCCATAGCCATCCCGTCAATTTGTTTATACATGGTGTCATCAAAACTAAACTCAACACCCTTTGTGGGAGCCATCATTAGTTCTCCAAAGGCATTCTCAGACATGTCCGGCAAAGTCATGTCCGAGTGAAAAAGATTTTGAGCACAAATTTCAATGGTTTCTTCTAAGAGCACATTAGTGAAGAGACTAGTTACATCGAAAGAACACATCGTTAGATTAGAATGCATACGTGGTCTCTCTGCCCCGTTGGCGGACTAAATTATAAAAAGTTTCATTAATTTGGTTTGATTTTTTCAAGTTTAGAAGAAGTGTTTGCAATCTCCTTTCTAATGTACTAGTTTTATCGCACTCTGGCAATTTTCCAAGCGCCAGAACTTGTTGTTGTCTTTCAAAATATTTAGCATTTTGCTGTTGTAATCTTCTCTGTCTAGAATTTCTACACCAGAGCCTTTATCTGGTTTACATACAACAATGTTCTTATTCTTTTTCAAATTAGACAGTGCGATCATGTGCTCTTTTGTAAGAGAAAATTCTTTAGAATCAACCTTGCATTCAGAATAAGCGTGTGCAAGACTTGATAGTTTACTCTTAAAGCCGGCACTGCTTCGCTATCATTTGGCTGAAACTTTCCCAACTGCGACCAAAACATTTCAAACTCAGAAAATATATCCTCTTTATTTAATTTACTGGGGGGAATTCCAAACTTAAGACCTCTAGATAGTACATCTAATTTGACTGCAGAGAGTTGATACGACGAAAGATTTGTTACAGGTGATGCAGCACACTGTAAATTTTGGGGGGTAAAAATTACCCTTAACGTTAGGGGTGAAATGAGTGCCACAGAATGCCCCGGTTTTGAAGGGTAATATTTTATGGGGGTAATATTTATTTAGGGGTAAAATTTACGGTGGCAATATTTAGTTAGGGGTAACTTCTATTAAGGGGTGAAATTTATCAAGGGGTAAAATTTATGGGGGTAAATTTTAAAGGGGTGATTTTGATGGACATGCAATTCCCCCATAATTTGGGGGTAAAAAGAAATTACACAGAATGCTGCATTTTTTAGGGCACATGAGCAAATACAGGAGGTAATGCTTCAATGGGGTTAAAACGAACTCTGAATCTATAGTAAGAATAAATGAAAATAGATCAAAAAAACAATCTCTTTATTTCAACAGAAAAGGAATGAGCGTTGCTATCTCGAGAATGGAGTGAAGGGTGGCAAATATTAAAAATGCGCGTTATTATCAATAAAAAAGATTAGATTCAAGGAAAAGTAACGAGGTTCAACATGCAAACATAATTACTCAACCAATGACAGAGTATTGGCAAACATAAATACTCTACCATTGGCAGAACATTGATATTTGGGGGGGGGATTCATATATTCAAATGTTATAATTCCTAAAACTAATTAATTTCAATGTAAAGTAGAACGGGCACAAATTAATAATAGCGTCCCCCAATTTTCAATACTCCGCCGCCCTTGAGTACTCCCCTCAATAATTGAGCTAGCTACGCCAACATAAAACATGCGTACACCGTAACAGAAAAAATTGTCTAAATGTCCAGTGTAATGGTTTAAATGTCCACTTAATGCTTACTTTAAACTGGCAAGAGCTTTAATAAATTTTTGCAAGCTAATTCTATTGATAGCAGTGTGCTGCAACCCAACAAAAACGGAATCAATAAAAAGAAATACATCCTTATCATCTTGTGGATAAGCTATAGAAAATACATAGTATGTTGCATAGAGCGTAAAAAGGACTGTGTCTAAAGAAAATGAAGTTACGTCAACGAGTTGTCGTCCTTCGACGCACAATAGTAGCCTGTCAGGCTTCAGTATGTTTTCACCAATAACCAAAACCCGTGGATAGGTGGTGCGGGTTATTTTGTTAGGCAAATCATCATCTTCCTAAAACATACACAAAAAGAAAATGCTTCAGTGTTTGAAAGTTGCCTCGATGAATGCACTGTATGGAAAACGTTTCTAGTAAATTAAAGAACATCGACACAAGCGTTGCATGCAGTTCACTAAGAAGTCTTTATCATTGCTTACCGACAGCATTTCCATCAGGCTGTTTTCAGACGTTTTCTTGGTTAGCAAATGGACTAACAGCATCACTGAACTTGTCGTTTCAAAGTCTGTTTAAAAGTTAACACAACTTAGCATTTATAAAATATTATATTTTCCTTAAATATTGTGATAATAGATTTACCACGCGGAAAGCATATAGGGATGACAGTGTCATCGCTACACCTTGTAATTTATAACACTCTGTAACTAAAAGCGAGAGACTTGCCAGGTGGGAAACGGATACGTATTAAAGAAACAATTGCCCAACATAAAATTCGAAAAAAAAAATAAAAAAAAGGCTTTATTACTAGGCTATTTTTACCTACCGGAGGAGTCCTCTATTCCTTCTGATACTGCTTTTTCTAGGCACCTTAAAGTATTCTTGATGAATGGACTTTTTCGATATAATTCTTTACAGTACTTTAAGATTGCTTTTCGATAAGTAGAGAATGAAGACTTCATGTCTTTAACGGCACAATCATCTCTCATCACTCTGCAGTATTCATGGCGAATCTAAAATTGCAAAATAATATTTGTGAAATATCTGATTTATTGTAAAATATGGTGAAAGCAAGACTTTGTCACAATGTAACGTATTTAACCCCTAACCCCTTTAAGTGTGGATAAAGGAGGATATTGTTGTACGATATCTTCAACAGGAACAACTGTAGTCAATATGTTTCTTCGTCTGATATCGTAAGTTGAATTCATTAATTCTTTAATAATTCCATAATCTTGAATGGATGATGATTTGCGGCATTCACTTTGCAAGTGCAAAATATGCTCCTTGTGAATGGTCTCCGTTGTGTTGTTACATGATGGTACTTCGCTCCAGATATTTGTTTGTCTTGGCCTTCCTTTACGAGGAGGAGTCACGCTGCCCTGGACATCAAAGTCAACAGTCGATGACTTTCGTTTCTTTTTGTTCTCGTATTTTCGAACATGTTTAAATCGATTTTTGATTGATTCAGACCAAGACCCCTAAAAATTTTCAAATCACCACTTATTGTATATATTTATGACTTTTGAAGAAAAGCGCACACTTGTTCATTTTCCTTAAATAGAAGAATGTTGACTTACGCTTAGACATTCTTTGACTTTGATCATTGTGATAAATGTGAGGGAACATGCCGTGATCTAACTAGATTAAAAGTTTTAGTAAGGCTTTGTAGCTATAAACAGAGCAGCATTTAATTCTTTCATGGGAAACACAATAATAGGAACAAGTTCAAATTCAGGCAGAAATGCTTGCCTGTCGTCGTTTGTGGTAAAAGAAGTTTGTGCTAACTATACTGTCACGCAAGATCACTTTGCAAAATTTAAATATACCTCTACGTTTAATTACTCTGAGTTATGACATACCAATCCACTTCCTATAGCATCCTTGAGATGAGGGTATTTAGTGACAATTGCAAAAGAAACTTTATTTCTTTCCTCCTTGTTTATGTAAGCGATGCCATGAGATGATATGTCTGTACATATATCCCTTATAAATTCGCTCCTTAGTGTCCCAGTCAAGCAATTATTCGCCAAAGCGGATGTTACAGCAGGTGAAAACTGGTAAAGTAAACAGGTCCATATGAATATATGTGTAAAATAAAAAGAACTTGCTCTTAAATAAGAACATTTTAACGATAGTTTTCCGTGGTTACTAAATTTATCAAAATAAGAGTAAAGAGAGAAATTAGACTGTACCGTTTCGAGCAGTTTATAGTCTTTGAAATACAGCCGGTTTCGTTTTTCTTGATATGCAAAGGGTAATGGCAGTGTGCTATTTTTTGTATTGTCGTTTTCCATCGGGGCATCATCCACATCAGTCCGAACTTCCAACTGAAGACTGGAACTAGCGCACTTATATAAAACATCCTAAGTTTAGTTTTTAACCTAACAAACACACCAGTTTGATTCAAGACTGTCTGTGATAAGGAGTTATGACTGATTATAAACTTCCTATGACCAGCAATATGACCAGTCAAGGTCAATCAATAATAGACACTGTGGGTGACGCGGTTATAAATATTAGGAATATTATTTTATACACAACACACAAGCATGAACACTTACCATAGATGCAGTCGTGTCTTTGTTCTGAACCACCATTTCTGCGCAAATTTTTTTAATTCGCATTGCATCACCTGCCTTTACTCCACACAAAACCAAAACACTGATATCCGCTTCATTTAATATAAAACAGTCATTCAACTAGATAGAGAAAGTTTGGAAATCAATGCGATATTTAACATTATGATTTATATGTTTGTAAACGATACTCCCCGGTATTTATATGTTTGTAACGATACTCCCGGGTTCAAACCATTTACTTTATTATGATTTATGCAAGATGCACTTCACTTACTTTTTGATTTTCCAATATAGAAACTGTTGCTTCTTCTGCGCCGGAATTAACGAGTTTCTCCCTCAAATTTTTGTCCATCCTGCCCAAAAACAACACAGCAAAACAGTTTCATTTACAGAATACAATGCTATAAATGTCTTTACAAGCGGAAATGACAGTTATGACAAATTATTTTTAGCTATGATTTTTATTTGTAGATGCACTTCACTTACTTTTTGATTTTCCAATATAGAAACTGTTGCTTCTTCTACGCTGGAATTAACGAGTTTCTCCCTCAAATTTTTGTCCATCCTGCCCAAAAACAACACAGCAAAACAGTTTCATTTACAGAATACAATGCTATAAATGTCTTAACAAGCGGAAATGACAGTTATGACAAAATATTTTTAGCTATGATTTTTATTTGTTTTATTTTGTATTACTTGAAATTGTTTGCTTGTCCTGGTTATTGGGATAAACACTGTTCCGGTACTTTGGAAAGAAGTCACAAGAAGCTTTGTAAAATAACGGCTCTTAAAAATGGACTGAAAAACCTCAAGCTTTTAAGATAAACAAGACAATAAAAGGAAAATTTGCCATATCTACATATACATCGACGCTTACATGCCCTGGCAGTGCAATATATGTGGAGATTTTTCTGCTGAACATCGCAGTCAATTGATAAACCACATTGGAAGGTGTCACAGGAATGATCCAAATTTCCATTGTTTGTGTGGCATAAGTGGTTGTACAAGAACATTTAAAAGTTATTATACTTGGCGAAAGCATGTAAAAAGAGCATTCATCGCAGCCAAATAGTGTTGAGGAGCATACAAACGTAAGAAATAATAATGAAAATGATGAAAATGGAGGCGTAGTATTGGAAGAAAATATCGATACCATAGAAAACACCAGATTGGCTGCATTATATATTCTCAAGATACAAGAAGAGTTCTCGATGCCGAAGACTACTGTTACAAGTATTATAGAAAACACAAAATCACTCATTCAAGACACATTAAAAACGGTGGAAACACAAGTAAAAAGGCGATTAGGTAATGAAAATATTTCGTGTCAAAATGTGCCTGGGATGCAAGAGATTTTTGAAGAGAACAACGCAATAGCCAATCCATTCAAAAACTTGGAAACTGAAGCACAACGACGACGTTTTTACAAAGACAATTTTGGATTAAAGGTATTACATTTTATTAACGAGAACGCAGAAACATATGGTAAAATAATGAAAAAGCTTTTCCTGGACGTCTTTGCTTTTTTTAAACAGGAACCACGTAGAATTATTCTGGGTCAAAAGAGAGTCTTCAAAAGAAGAAATGGTGTATTAGAGCAAATTCAAGTTAATGATGAGGCATATTATATACCACTTTTGGATAGTCTGCAACAGCTTCTAAATGACGACTTCATTTTAGCAGAGGTCAGGTGCATGGTCTTTGAAATTAAATAATAGTTAAGTCAAATATACATTATGGCAAATTGGAAAAGTTGCATTTACGATGATTTCACTTGAGATATTATCATCTTCACAATGATGTTTCTTAGAAGTTATTTCTTTCACCTCTAAATTTTAGGTCAAAAATCCTCACACGAGTTCAGATGGCCTTCTGAGAGACTATTGTGATGGTCATCAGTTCAAAATGCACCCAATTTTTTCGAAAAAAACAGAGGCTCTTCAGATTATGTTGTATTACGACGATTTAGAAACATGCAATCCGCTTGGATCGAGGGCAACTAAACATAAAATTGGTAAAGTAAAATAAATTAATCAAACGCGAAATTATTAAATTAGAACTTTCATAATTACACATATAAATTTTTAGGAGCATTCTACTATACACTGGGTAATATTAATCCCTTAAATCGGTCATCGATGAAGGCAATTCAGCTTCTGTGTCTATGCAAAACGTCTAACATTAAAGAGTATGGAATTGATGCAGTACTAAAACCATTCGTTACTGATTTAAAAAAGTTAGAAAAGGTATGCTCAGCTCATACAGCAGCATAATAAAGTAAACAACTTCACTTTTCCACTTTGGTTTCAGAACAGTGGTCATTCCTTCGACATTAAAGGTGTAGACGAGACCTTCTGTGGATCCATAGCATACACATCTGCTGACAATCTTGGGGCACAGTTGTTAGGAGGATTTAAAGAGAGCGGCAGTGCAAACAAGCCATGTCGATATTGTCTTGCAAGTGCTGAAGAAATGAAAACAAAGGTATAAAAAACATCTCTCATTGCAGCAGCTATCAACTTAATTCAAACTTGAATTAGTTAGTGGTTACTCTACATACAATAACGCAACTATTACTTTTAGTTTCATGAAAAAGACTTTGTTTTGAGAACAAAAGAAAACTATAACACCCATGCTTCTCAAGTTGTACAGTATGGCGAACACTTCAGTAAAGTGTATGGCATCAACCGTACATCAATCCTAAATCTAAGCAGCTACTACCATGTTGTTGGTGGCCTACCACCAGACATAATGCATGACATTTTAGAGGGGGTTCTGCAATACGAAACAAAGGAATTATTAAAAAATTATATAAGAGAGGAACGTTATTTCACTATGGATACATTGAATGAAAAAATTGCCAAATACGACTTTGGATATTACAATGACACCAACAAACCATCACCAATATCAGAAGCAAAGTTATCATCAAATGACAACAGTTTAAAACAACATGGTACGTTGTTCATTGGAAATGCACAATGACTTATAATAATTATTATCGCAATATGTTGATGTAGTTCCAACAGCTAGATAACTGAGGTATGTGTTTTTATTCTAATTGATTGCAGCTGTTCAGATGTGGTGCTTGGCAATTCACTTACCACTCATAATTGGAAATATTGTTCCTCCAGAAAATGACCGATGGAAACTTTTTCTTAGTTTGCTACAAATCACATCTCTTTGCTTTTCACCTGTAATATCAAAAGATGAAGGGGCATATCTTCAAGTCCTAATCAATGACCACCACAATAAGTTCAAGGAGCTTTATCCCCACTGCAGCATAATTCCAAAAATGCATTTTATGGTCCACATTCCTAGTGCTATAATCAGGTATTGTAAAATCAAACAGTAATAGAGTATTCCCTTCAATAGAAATCAAATAGCAAGGTACCATATTTAAAACTTGTAGAATGGGCCCTCTAGTTTGCGCTTGGTGCATGCGATTTGAAGCAAAACACCACTATTTTAAGAAGTTGAGCACTGTAATTGGTAACTACACAAACTTACCATTTACTTTGGCCATGCGACACCAACAATGGATTTGCTATAAGTTGCAGTCTGGCAATCATGAATCAGGATTTCTCGAAAAAGGCATTGAAGTTGGACAAGGTACAGCAAATAATTTAAAGGAGCTATAGCAAGAAATGAGCATGAATTACAAATGTAAATTAAAATTTTTAAATTTAAAGGTCCAACACTATGTGCAGGAGATCATGAGAACTATGACTTATTAAGCAACCAGGATGTCTTCATACATCAAACTACTTCTATTGCCAGGTATACTTTAAAAATACTCACTGAAACTTGAGTGAAATACGCATGGCAAAGCTTTTATCAATAATTGAAAAGGTAATTTTTAAAAAATTCAGGTAAAATGCAGTTATTGCAAATACTTTTTCATGTATAAAGAAGTAAAAAATGTAATTTTAAGAAAAATTTATACAAATAATGACTATTTGCAATTTTCATGATTGAACATTCCTTTTCCTAGTTTTTTTTAGCTTTTGGCAGTTAGTTATTAATGCACTAATTCAATTAAGTAGATTTACAGAACAAAAATACAAATTGTTTTTCTCAATATTTTAGACCAAAATGGATTTCAGTTCATGGTACGAAATTCAAAGCTGGATGTGTTTTGTGGGTTAGTCATGACAAAGAAGAAATGCCATGTTTTGTGATATTGAAAGAGATTTTGGTGGTAGAAAGGAATTTGGAAAGAGCATGGTTCATTACTCAGAAACTTGGAACTGTCAAATTTCATGAGCATTTCAGTGCATATGAAATGGTTGACACAACTGAGCTACAGATAATTAAACAGCAAGAGCTACTATACCCATTGCCACTGCATTTGATTAATATTTCAGTTCATGGGCAAAACAAAATATTTGTGTGTCCAAAATATCAAATACCTGTTATTTAAGGAACAAAACTTTGCATTTTTACGTTGAATTAAAAGGCGAGCATAATATGAATTAAAACATAATCAGAAGCATAAACCTTCTCTAGTAGGAAAATATGTTTCCTATTGAAACAAAACACAACCTCTATTGCATTTGAGTTGATCAAGAGCAACAATCGCAAAGAGAAACGTACTCAAAAGAAAAATAGTCGGAACCCTAGACAGTTAAGATTCTATCTCCAGGTCATTTTGCCAAAATAACCTAAATGCAGCCTTTTCCATAGTACGCAAATATCTTAAATGGTTAGTAATACAAGAGCCTATTCAAAATACAACGAAGTTCAGAACTTCAGAGTAATGAGAGCATGTATTCAGTATTCGTTTACAACTCTTACATTACGTGGTGTTATTTAATTATACTATAAATCAATATATATATATTTAATATACTTACTTTCTTCAAGAAATCTTGGAGAAATAGACCATAAATGCTAATATTCCGACAAAGTGGTTTGGACTCTGTTGACGAAGAAGCATGTTTCTTCCACTCTTGCTTAATTCCGCCATGTTGATTTTAAAACATGCGTTGCACTTGGCATTACACCAAACGCATGGGGTAATTTTACACCCACATGTTGCATTTACACCCAAAGAGGGTCATTGTAAACATTACCATTATGTTGAGGGTAAAATTTAAACCACGGATAGCAAACTACCCAAGATTTTAGAGTAAATATTACCCTTTAGTGAATTACCCATCTGAAGGTAGTAAATATTACCCTAAAAAAAGATAACTTTTACCCCTAAAATTTACAGTGCAGCATCGATGTGACCGTATCTTTTGCGTGTTAGCCGTTTCAATTTCTCTTCGTTATCTGCCCGTTCAACAGTCCATTTTTGAAACTAATATCTCGAATTAGATGTACTATCTAGAGGTCCTAAGTTTGGAATTCCCCCCAGTAAATTAAATAAAGAGGATATATTTTCTGAGTTTGAAATGTTTTGGTCGCAGTTTGGAAAGTTTCAGCCAAATGATAGCGAAGCAGTGCCGGGCGTTAAGAGTAAACTATCAAGTCTTGCACACGCTTATTCTGAATGCAAGGTTGATTCTAAAGAATTTTCTCTTACAAAAGAGCACATGATCGCACTGTCTAATTTGAAAAAGAATAAGAACATTGTTATATGTAAACCAGATAAAGGCTATGGTGTAGTTCTTGACAGAGAAGATTACAACAGCAAAATGCTAAATATTTTGAAAGACAACAACAAGTTCTGTGCGCTTGGAAAATTGCCAGAGTGCGATAAAACTAGTAAATTAGAAAGGAGATTGCAAACACTTCTTCTAAACTTGAAAAAATCAAACCAAATTAATGAAACTTTTTATAATTTAGTCCGCCAAACGGGGGCAGAGAGACCATGTATGTATGGTTTGCCAAAAATTCACAAGGAAGGCGCTCCACTTCGACCAATTTTAGCCATGATTAACTCAGCTCAACATGAGCTATCTGTCAGTGGTACTTTCGCCCGTTTTGGAGAAGTTTTCAACATACGCTTTAAAAGACTCTTTTACTTTTACTGATGAGCTTAAACAATAAAATTTTTCAATGCATTCTAATCTAACATAGTATCTTTCTTTAGTAGCATGGGCACCGCGTCCAGTAGCACTTTTGGCTTTTGTCTTTGGATCAAACAATTTAGTTCTAGTTACAAGTTTTTAAAAACGTTTAAACTTGTTGAGTGAGTTTACTACTTGCATCACATTAATCTTCATTGTTTTTGAGATATTTCAAAACAACTCCTCTTTTGTGTTTTAGGTGATTGGGATGTTTAGTTCATTTCTAAAGATTTTGCACAGACCAAGTTAAAATTAGTTTGCCATCTATACTCTATAGTATTCTATTGATGTCCATAAGTAGCCATAAAATTTTTAATGGGGGAAGAGGGCTCTTTTTCGTCTACACTCTACATATTGAAGTATATGTAACTCTGATTAAAAGATTTTTAATATTTTTGCTTGTTTGTACAAGTCTTAAAAAATCTTACAACTAGTTATTCTAAAAGAGCTTAACATTCGTTACTTGTGCTTTGATTTGCGAGTCATTTCTCTGATAATCGACAGTGAAAAAGATCCACTTATCATTGTTTGGGAAAACCACTTCACTTTTTCCAATGAGCTGCATCCCAAATAACTAGACAAAAACCTATTGTACTTACAAAAAGTCTTATGAAGAAGTAAAACAAGCAACTTAAAAGGCACAGTGCACCCGATTGCAGTCTATTTATTGAAAGCTTCGATGCGATGGGTTTTTATCGCTATATGACAGATTTTAAAATAAAGGAGCGGTATAGTCAATCAAACAGACGTCATGAATATTGAATTATATTCCACCTTTATTACTTGCCAATTATCTGTGTAAGTCACCATTTTGTTTTTCAAACTTTATTCACAATATAAAGCTGTTTAAGGTTTGGAGTGTAATGTGCATGCTTGAGTATCAAGCGAACTGGGCATTTAACAATAAAGAAATTTACAAACACGACGTATCGTTTAAGAAGTCGTAAAAATGGCGTAATTACGATGCAGGTACATTATGTTTGAGCAAATCACGACATTTGCATCACGTCTTCAACGATACGTCGTGTTTGCTAAATATGTCATTCACATGTAGCTACGATTCCTTAAGTAGCTAGTGTGAACGCCGCTTAAATGAGTCCTCGTTTTCTAAACGGGATAATTTTACCGTGCATTTTCATTAATATCCTATCTCAAATAAAATGTTCCTAGCACGCCACTGAACTTTGCGTCCACCCACCATTACTCAAAACAATTTTATTAGACATCTTTTCTGGTAACGACAAAAACCATGCATGATTAGTCCTTAAATATAACCTTATGAGGGCGTTGGCGATCTCTTTTTTGCGTACCTGCTCAATAAAAGGGCGTAGGAACTCTCGAAAACATGTATAATCCAAACTGCTATGTACCTAAAACAGAACAGATAAATAAAATAGCAACAAAAGAAACTAGTAATCAACTTCTTTTTTCTTGCTGTTTCAGGATGAATTGTACCACGATTCGTATGAGAAACGTACTTACGCAATTTTAATACCGTAATTATATTCTTTGACTACACGGCAAACATCATCACCAAACTTGCCAAATAGAGAGCATGGCAAGGCGTCTGGGATAAATGACAAGACCTTAAATGGAAAAAATTATCTGATCAAAATTTAACACGTCTTCAGGGGTCGCGATGGATATTGGGAGGAGGAATATTCATATATTGGTATGTTTTAATTTCGTCCATTTAGCTTTCATCCTTATTCAACCTCCCCCTTAAGTAATCACACATTTAAAAGGTAGCAAAAAGCAACCCCATGCCCTCTATTTACTCCTTACTTTCAGTAAATTAAAAAATCGTAAGGAAGTCAATCTTACGATGAAATGATACCAAAATACGAATGAAATTCAAAAATTTCAAATTTTAACGGCAAAAAAGTAAGCGAGATTAGCGAGATTTGACTCGTCTCTAATCCCTGTGGGCTTGGTAGCTCAACAGGTAGAGCGGCGGACTAGTATTCCGAAGGTGCGAGTTCAAATCTCGTCCTAATCACATGTTTTTCATGTGCATATTAAAAACCGTGTTAGGATTAATATATTATATATTCTCTGATGATGGCTTTGGAATAAAGTCGAAACACGGTGCCATCCAGTAAACTACTTTAGTGGCGAGAATCTCTCGTCCATACGCAGTTTAAAAGAGATTTGACTCGTCTCCAATCCCTGTGGGCTTGGTAGCTCAACAGGTAGAGCGGCGGACTAGTATCCCGAAGGTGCGAATTCAAATCTCGTCCAAGTCACATGTTTTTCATGTGCATATTACAAACCATGTTAGGAATAATATATTATATATTCTCTGATGATGGCTTTGGAATAGAATTATATATATATATGTATTGTGCCGGGAGGGCACATTGTATATACACTTTGTATATTACGCTCACTGCGCGTGCGTAGTTTGAGGACTCTAAGATTGTGTAGAGAGTTTCATATGGAGATGTTCACCGTGTTGGCGATATGCAAAGCTAACCCTTATAGCTTTGAGCACTATGGAGACTCTAACATCGTCCATACAATGTATAACCGTACGATCTGTGTCCCAAGTGCAGGAATCACCATTGCATTGTGGTGATAGCCTGGAGGGCATATTGTATATACACATTGTATATATAAATATAGTTATTTACATTGTTAGAGGTATCAGATTACTGTGAACGTGTAAGTGTGATGTGATGTATATTTAGGGTGAGGTGTTGAGACAAGAAAAGCTTAAGAGTGATGAAGCTGCCTTGAGTTTTAAGGGAAAGTTTTAGTTTGGAGATTAGGAGGCTTTCGTGGATCATGAGATCGAATGGGTCGGAACGTCCGCATCAACCTAAATACGTTACGCCACTGGTATAAGCAGAACTAACTGCTGGTTTATTTACTCCAAATGCTCTTAAAAAATGAAATGAGTAGGAGTTAAGAATTGGATAACTTCTCGTGAAAAAACAACCATATGTGGTTGAAAATAAAGCTGTTCTCATCTAATGCACCAGTGATTAAAGTCAAAGTACACGTTCCCTTCCTTTGCTCTCATCTCACCAGCATAATGATCTCGATATGCCCGGTTCATTCGCGCCATAACGACCATATCATTTTGTGGATTTGCAATAACACCATTACGTTTGAATGACTGCGAACATCCGTAACATGAGCGGACGAGCGGTGAACACAAACCCAAAAGTGTGATTCGGAAAACATTGTCATTACAAATTGTTTAAATCGTTGTTTGTATTTAAGCAAGGAAATTGAAATGTGTTAGCGAGTACTGTTGAGGGCAGGACAGAAGCTGTGCTGGAAATATGTGAACTCTCTTTTTGTACTACATGTTGTTGAGCTTGTTATTGAACTTTAGAGTAGTTATACTCTTGATTTGACAAACCGTGTTTCTACATTGCAAGATGCAAGAGTGCTCTTTTTCCGGCAAGAGATCATTACGTGAAGTTGGTGCTTTATTTCTGTCGACGAGAATTACCGATGACTGTGTTTTTTTACTTTGTTCTCCTTTTCTTCAGACAGATGTTGCCTTGTTACCTTTTCCCCATCTCCTTTGCAGCTGTCACCTGTCACCAACTTATTCAGATTCATTTGCGAACCACTCTTTTGCAACCATTGCAAATACTGCTGTGTGATCTCACATTTTTCGGCTACAGTTGTCGCACGTAACTTTGCCATTTTTTGCCACCGTGACGTAATGTGGTCGAACTGACGTCGAGCTTTCAACCATGGAAGCTTTTGCGTAATCGGACGTTGGTGCTGGTAATATCTATATACGTTTTTCATTTGTTAAGCAATTTTTGCTTTTTCGGCAATATGCGTGAGCATTTCCGGGTTAGCTGTGTTCAGACGACAGATTCTAAATTTCTTGATTGCAGCCTCTTTCTCTTTGTTTGTGTTTCAAAACCACACATTTTATTGGATTTGGAGAAGTTGAAATTTGGAAGCAAGATAGTATGGACCATGGTTAATCAAGGCCGAGTCAACGTCTTGTTTTTGCTGCTTAAGAAGTTTGTTCATCTGCTGGCAGAAATCGCTCATCTCATCGATTCTCCTTAAATCATACGCATCGTTTGATCATTACATTTGCCAATTCCGATACATTGTTGTAAAAGAGTTTTGGTGGATCACCAAGACCAGCGTTTTGCATTTCCTAGCATGCATCGGACGATCATGTCTTTCTGCAAAATGTGAATTGAAGAAAATAATTGAAATAAATAATTTTTAATGCTTCTCAGTGCGGGCATGAAGTATAAGTGATATATATGATAGTGTTGCATATATATGATGGTGTTGCATCCAACTTTTTTAGTAAAGTATGTACAAAACGTTGTTCAGATAATGACAGAGCCCTAACACAGTGGGACCAGCCAAAATATATGGGGTTTTTACAGAATACAAATACTGAAAAATTTGGTCCCAAAACGTTGAAGTCCCCTTTCTCCAGAGTATCACCACATTTTCTTCCAAATTTGTCATAGAGAAACGTTTTCTGTGCTTCTTCTGGTACATTTGATGATTTTAGTTGGTCTTTGCAATTTTCTCAAAAGTGGTTAAAACACCTTAGGTGAATCGCATGCGGAAAACTAAACTGCATTGCTTTATACAGCTCCTCCTCACAGTCTGTCCCTAAAGCAAGAATACCTCTTGTATCTTTACATAAACTTATTAATTTGCTAAAAAAGTAATGGTAGGCGTCAAACGTTTTTGTTTGAGTAATAAGCATAGGCCCAATCATTGCTGGATGTTTTCCACTATTTCGATCGACAACCTTTAGATTCTGCTGCAAAATTACCGTTACGTTAAACTTTGCCAGGTTGAATGTAGGATCTGCCTCCAAAACAGAAAATTGTTCAGGATTACCACAAACTGTAGGTATCTCTTCCAGCTGCAGATCAAAACACAAAACGCATCTAAGATCGGGAACACCAGTGATCTCGCAAATAGAAGGTGTCTCACCTTTGTTTATTTGCTCACGCTTGCATCGTTCCACAAAAATAACAATTAATTGCAATAAAAATAACACATAAGGATTGCATATTTTGGAAGGCCAATTATAGGTTGGTTGCTAATCAAGACATTCAAAAAATAGCTATGAGCACCTCTCTTGCAAAATGCACGGAACAAAGAGTAAATTTTTCTGTCGGAATTTTTTTAGCGCTTGAGAGCAACCCACTGTTTACGTCTTGATTTAGCTTGGAGTATAAAACGGTATAAAATGTCCTGAAATTTCTTTGTCTGTGTTTATGACATTCAAGCAGCCTCCCACAACAATACGGTTTGGAATTTTTCAGTTTTGTTGGCTTTCTGCGTGGTGTTTGCTTTGATAAATAAGCTCACATATTAGGATTCCATATATAAAAGTAGGACCATTGAGTAGGACGAGTTCCTACTGTGACGTCAATTTCATAATTCGCACCAGTCTCATTTGTGAGGTTTTCTCATTTTTTACTTTAAGAAAATCGATGTTTAGGCAATAACAGTGCAAAAACTATAACTCCAATTTGAATTTCGCTTTAGAACTTAATAACTATATTTGATAATAGATTTCAAAAATGTAGTCTTATTTTCTGACATAGGGACTTTGATAAGCGTTTTTCTTTGATATAAGCGTACAAATGTAAAAATGAAAATGTCACTTGCTTTGTCTCAAAATATCAAAAAAATTATTGTCATGTGTTTGGTTTTTCGTTTTTCAAAATACATTTACTAGATTGGTTATTTTAATAGATATTAATACTGAAATACGTGTTGCATGAATTGGCATGAGCTATCATGTTGGCAAGAAAAACTTTCAGCCCTCAGCCTCTTTTCTTGCACCACTTTCAAAAATGCCGCATTTGATTGGTAGCAAAAAAATTAACCCGAGGGGATGATGAAAGACATGCAGTGAATGACTTCGCAAAACACCACCAGGTCAGTACTAGTTTGTGCCAGTTACGAATGACATAAAAAAGTGTCAACAGCTAAAAATAACTTTCGCAAATGGCATTCTGCGCTTCATACGTTAAATTAATACTTCTTCCATTGTCTATCCAATAATTCATGTACGAAAACATGTAGCAATAATAAATAAAGTAATACATTTTCAAAATATAATCATATAGTCGGCTAATTATTAGCAAATAAGAGATCACTGAATGCACTACGAAAGAATGCAATTATATAGGTGATAGAGCTTGCAAATACCCCATGACATGTAATCCATGTGAAGAAGCCTATCCAAACGAGCATTGACACAGATTTGAATTTTTTCTCTTGTGTAGCATACATTTTTGATGTTCATCTAAACGGTATAAGCAGAAAATGATATAATCCTTTTACATCTGAGCGTTGCACTTTTGACAATTTATAACAAAAAAAAACATTCATTATCTAAATAAGAAATAAGAGTATCTCGCTCTACGACTTACCAGCAACTGCTAACGCAATTTACTTTGCTTAACGATCAATGAGATTCACACTACAGAATTCAACCAAAAATTGTAACCTTACCGCATGTTTACAATTTGTCTAATGGATTTTGTAATATTTATGTTTTTGACCGCTGACCGCATATCTCTCGATAGAACTCGCCATAATACCAAAACATTTCATAACAAATACATTGATATAGCCATTAAATTGCACGCCAAGGTTTTTGACTCCTCAGCGAAGGCAAAAAGAGAAAAGCAGCAAAAAATCTAACGAAATGGTTGTATGATTGTTTTAGTCAGCAGAATTGCAACTCTAAATTTGTAATCTGCAAATTTGATTTGAACAATGAAATGCACGGAGTGCGTACAGACACACGTTTTTATATGCATAGTTGAAAAAGTTAAGTTTTCTTGCTATTTAAAAAACCGATAAGAGACTTTTCCTTAAGTTCGTGTGGAGATGTCAGGAGAAAACACTGGAAGAACGTTAGAAAGCAACTTAATTGTCAACAAGCAATAGGCTTTGAATCGATTAATGCTCTCTCTTAACGGAAATATCTTGTTTTTATAAATCAAGACAATATCTAAAAAAGCAAGTCTCTTGCTGAACCAACCAATTTTATGGAGATTAATACTGAGATTATGTAATCAATTTGCCCTTTTTTCCAAAGCAGTGAACATTTTTTTGTTCAATTCAATATCCAGGGGTTGAAAGTGTTTCAGGGACACAAATGACATGCCTGTTGACATTTTTTAAATTGCTAACAGACTGCACTACAAAAAAATGGATTGTTATACAACCTAAAACCTTCAAAAGCTCAGAACTTTCAAGCAAGTTTTCGTCATTTTGCTTTCTTATTTCTTTTTTCGTGTGTTTTTAATTGCTTTTTCTTTTTTTGGTTATTTTATTTGTGTGTTCAGACAATTTTACATCCATTTTTTTCATTGGTGTGTTAACGTTAAAAGCCAGCGTCTTGGTATTAATAAAGACCTTTGCAATCATAAATGTGAAGACATCGTACATACTGTTTCAATTATTAATCATTAACATGATAGCACTGTCGCTTTTATTTTCATTACATTAAAATTAATTGCTCCTTTATTTTCATCGTTATTATCATTGAAAAGATGTCATTATTATCATTAAAAAGGTGTCGTCCTCAACAAACAGCTATCCGTGTTTCTTTTTCATGCCATTCATTTTTCGGAGTAGGTGAAGTGAGAAATACCCATTCATCATTGTCTGAGCAAACCACTTTCCTTGATCAAAGGTACTGCATCCTAATTTGCTATGCAAAAGTAAGAATGAAATATAGTTACATGTTTGTAAATGTAGATCGTCCAGGTTAGTATAGTCCTAAAAAGGACTGTTTTTGTTGTCGTTGACTGACGTTTCGACAACCTTAGCGGTAGTCATCTTCAGAGTCAAAATGAGTCATTTCAGAGTCATTTTAACTTTGAAGATGACTACCGCTAAGGTTATCGAAACGTCAGTCAACAACAACAAAAACAGTCCTTCTCAGGACTATATCAACATGGACGATCTACATTTACAAACATGTAAAGATACTCCCGGGTTCAAACCATTTACTTTAATGAATTATAGTCTAATGTAAAGGAAGCAATAATAAGTTGAGTTCAGTCCAGTTCCAAATTAAGAGGTTTGGAGAAAATATATTTGCCTAAAGTAGATTTTTGAGTAGCAAAGTCGAAGCACATATGAAATGGTTTCCATAAGTCTATTTTTACCTGCTCAATCTCAATGAAAACAAGCTTTCAAAAAAATGTACGACCCAAACTGCTACAAACCTGTAAAAAATAGCCACATTTATTATGTGGACGCATGTTTACAATGTTAATGAAGATAGTTATTTAGTTGTACACAGACAGTTAAAAAGAATTAAAAAAGTAAAAAAAATGAGACGCGTGCGCTGTTTGGTCAATAGCTGTGTTTGTATTAGCCTTTGAAAACCCATCTGAGGTCACTAAATTATTTCCACAAAAAAAAATTGCAAATTAATCATAAATAGTGGCATGTTGAAAGAAAAAATAAGAAAATTGTTGCAAATTAATCTGTTACGCTTTAATGCTATTCCTATAAAAGAAATAAACCATGTTTTCGTAGTTGTACAGGCTTAAGAAAGACTCGGAGACGTTTGTGAGAGCTATGAAGTTGGTCAAACTGATCTGCTCTCGAGTTCTCCTAAAGGTTTCCTCGGCTAGCAAACGTCTTTACCAAACTATAGGTAAAAGTTAAAAGAAAATAACTCTTTGAGATATAGTTACTTTGATTTCAACAACATTTTCAATATATTTGATATTTTAGAAATCTTTTCTTCATGGACCTTTTGTGTCGGGAAAAAGGTGACTCCATGAACGACGAAAGTATCATAAAAAGGACAGAACACAGTTGCATTTTTAATTTTAATTTTATTTTTAGTTTTATCAAACTATATATACCTATGCACAGTTTTAAATTGGTAGTGCAGATTTTAAAGATTTGCTACATCAGTGTTTTGCTGAAATATAAAAGCTTTAAATTTAATGCACTTGTTCTCCTTTCTACGTCCGGTACAGAATCACCTACTTCGGCATTTAAGAATCCCACAAAGAAGAAATTTAAGTCTTATGAAATGTATTGAAAATGTTTTCACTAAAGAAATTATTTCCCTGATCCTGATATAAACACTTTCAACATCAAAAACTAACAGTGTATTTGACAACTTTAGTGTCTCCTCTTCGTGGGTTGATTACAGCTTTACATCAGTCGGAAATCTTTTCAGGTTAATTATATTCATTGGTGTGAAATTAAAATCACAGTGCAACATCATCCAAAAAAGGGTAAGCAGTTCTTGTTTTAATGGCTGTGCAAACGTAATTCTGCAATTATACTTACAAAACCTTGAGGCCATAGTTATATTCTTTTGCAAAATCGCAGAAGTCAATGCTCATTTTTCCATATAGCTCACAAGGTAGAAGATCTGGTAAAAACACTATCACCTTGAATGATTAAAAAATGAACAATCAATTACCCAATTGAGATTCAAATTTAAATTTACTAACGTTAAAATAAAGATAGGTAATAGAAAAAGCAATTAAATCCTATGTACTCATGACAGCATTTAACAACTCCTCTGTCTTTGAGCGAGCATGAGAAAGACGGAAGCAAGCAATAAAAAAAATAATTTCTCTATCAACATAGTAAATCTACAAAAGCATTCTGTCATTGGCTATGATGGTGACCACATAAAAAAATAGTCAGTGGGAGATTACTCAGTAGTTTAAGTAGGCTGAAGCCAGCAGGCCAGGACTTTCGAGAGGGTCGTTTTTTCTAGACATAATTAGTTTTTATTTTTGCTGTTCCAGACTAGTTAAATGCTCTTAATTTAGACCATTTATGCAGTTAAAAACCGTACGATCTACTGTTCAAATGCATGATGCTTAGAACTCATTAAGTAATGGGCTGTACCAGTTTGAACTTTAAATTTACTCCTTATAGTTGATACTAAGAGTTACAAAAACAAGCTGGGAAATGGAAAGGCAAAGGAGCATAATGGATGCAAATGTCATCAAGAGACTGAACTTAGTTGGAGCTTACAGGGCCAGTAATTAGTATTAGTAAAAATAATATTGTTGATGAATTGAGATAAGTAGAATTTCGAATAAGTTAGAAAATAGACTGATACAGAAAAGTTATATTTTGATGTTTAGTAAGAAATAGTTCCGTTCAAAAACTTTAACTGTTTCAAAAATCAATCAATGTTAAAACGCATTGCACATTCCAAGGTTTACACCTCTATCCTGCTTGCAGGGGGAGAATGGAGTTGCCTTAACAAGAAGCTAACCTCCTTAAAATGGAGCTTGAGTTTATTGCAGTACACAGCAACGACAGTTGTCCATGGAGCATTAATTGATTTTCCTTATGGTAAAGACAAAGATTGAAATCCATCAGTGAGAGTTGAATGTGGGGTTGAGGGCATGCAATCTTAACGACGAAATGCTTTATTGTATTTTCTCTAAGACGCTATTTCTAGGCCACGCATTTTTAGAAGGGCAGCTTCCTGTTTCATGTGTCAATAAATGTATTCAAGGAAATGTTAAAGACAACGATGTTTGAGGTTTCTGTTCATTCACTAACTGCCCTATGTGACCGTTAACAGGAAGCAACTGTTTTATGGCATAGACAATAAGCAAGTTTCGTTTCTGGTATGGAAATTTGATCGTATACCAATTATTTACTTCTATAGTGAAATCAATTTTTTCAGTGAATGAAAACAGCAAAACTCGCTTAGCTGGACGAAATTTGCAAGTTGGCTCTCTAAGTCACTTTAATCTGTGTGAAACAGCTTTCCATAAACTGCAGGAAGTTCGGCTTAGGTCATTTGTAGGACTTGCGATTTTGCTAACAGATAATTATTTTATTTTTCTTACATATAATTAGTTGTCATCTCATCGCGGGAGAAGTTTTTCACGCAATTTTCGCGTATTTCATATAATAACCCATAAATATCTGCCGACGTTTTATTTCCGTGACTTGACCTCAAACTTTCGAGCTTCAAATTTGGCCAAAACAAAAACTAAATTAAATTAGTACATTCGGAAAAGTGAACATTTATAAACCCTCTCTCCCGTTTGTTTGAAGATAAAGGTGCCATGTTAAGGTAAAAGCTGCGATCGTGTCCAAGAGATTTTTTACTCCTATTTCCTTCAAAAATCTTCAACCAATTTAATTTCTTAAGTACAAATTGCAATGTAAAAGATTGGTTAGGATACAACGAGAGAGAAGAGAATAAGGATCAGGAATGCGGAAGCGGAATGGAATGGGGATAGAGCGCGGAATTAAGGATAAAATGAGGAAAGGAATTGCGGATAAAACCCAGCATTAGGGTTAAACATGAAATTGGGGAAAACGCGGAATTGGAGATAAAACGAAGAATTGTGTGATCAAGCGCGCAAAAAAAGGTTGAAACGCGGAATAAAACTAGCGACTGTTGTTGAGTTATTTATTGTTTATTCTTTTCGTGAACATAAAACTGCTTTGAATTATTGGAAATGAAAACACGTACCGTCAATAAAATTATAAAATTGGCATAAAAAGTGGGCTTGAGCCTGAAGGAAATTCAAAATTCTTTACAAAATGAAATGTTTAATAACAATGAACGCCGTGAAATGATTAACTGCACAAAATTAAAAATCAAAGTGAAAAAAAAGAAAAAGATGTAACAAAAAGAAGGAAAAGTGCACTCGACTCTTTTGATGTCATGGTATTCAAATAACCTAGACAAAAATGTGTGCGCGCGTGCGGTTTCCCAAAATATTAACCATGTACGCTATACATTTAAAATACATTTTTAAAATATTCTTATAACTTAGCCCTTTTACAAAAGAGTGACATAGTCCTTATGCCTTATTATAGGTTTTGTGATGTAACCATCCTTAGTACACTTTGACATCAACAAATACAGTTATCACAGATAACTTAAATATCAAACTTAATGTTCAACGTCCATCTTGCAATGATAAAAACTACTATGCTATTTAGTACAACATGAAACACATTCCAAATAAATAGTTCATATTTAACTCAATAATTGAGAAGAAAACAAGACATTTTCTTATTTTAGTTGTTATATTTTGAATTTATTACAAAATTCATCATCAGACTCTATTTTCAAGTTAACTGGGGCTCTACTTATACGTGCGTTACATCATTTCAACGGAAATACGGAAGTATGAATTGGATGGGAGTGATTAGTTCATTGCGTGGCCGATCAAATACTTTACTACAAAATATTTTACTCAAACAAAAACTGAAACAGAAACTGACTTTTACTAATGGAAGCACTCTTTATTAAATCACATCAACCCATTGAACTAAAATACATAGAACGCTACCTGTAATACAAAACCCTACTAATTTTTTGAAGCCGTGATTTTACCCCATACACGCGTGCGTACTCAATCAATTATCACTCCGCAAGACAATCTCGAAACACTGCACACGCGTGTCTGGGGTAATATCTCGCGAGTCTGGATTTAATTCAATTATTTGTTTCAGATAGCGTTCTATGTATTTTAGTTTAATGTACCAACCAGCACTTAATAATCGGCTTAAAGGCTGCAAGGAACTGTCACTGTTTGCTGTCAGAGCCACATGAACCTGAGGAAGCTCAAAAAAAGCTATACTGTACGACGTATTTGGAAGGCTTGTAGGGGGAATCTGGTAGAAAAGTTTGCTATTATTTCGTTGATATACGCAGTATTTTCGCATGAGGTAAATCCTTGAAAAACTGGAACAGAGTAAACTGAAGTTTATTCAATACGTAGCTCACACCTCACACACGAACACCTGGTTAATGAGTTGTTCATGATGGCCCAGACATAAATGTAATGTAATTCAAACTAGGACATGTAGATGATGAAGACCATGATGATTTTGTTAAAAAACATAGTAGGGAAACCCTTGAAATCAGCGGAGTAATAAGGAACGAGAATAGAGAAACCTATATCACTAGTGATTTGTGAACGTTGGGTGGTCGGGTAGGGTTAGGGCTGGGGATGCCCAAAACACAAATGATTTAAGTAAGAGGATACCCAAAACACGGGAATACTCATATCACTGTGACAGTGTCGCCAAAAAGAGGATGTTGAGTCTGAAATCGTGTACCATGGGGCATACCGAGAAACAACAAAATTCTTTTATTTATAGGTGCCACAAGATAAATTTTTGTAAAAATGTCAGACACAAGGAAGCCTGCGTGAAAAGATTTCATGTCGCAAGTATGTCGAAAGACAACGATAACACGATCATATTCATGGGAGAAAGAGACACTGCTATCAAAATCCATCATGTGACCGTTTAAAAAAATGGAAAAATCACATGCAGCGATTGCCCAAGTTGGAAAGCACGAAGTATATGAACGCATTCCTTGGCCACGGAAGAAAAGCTTGGCATGACGTCCAAATTTTTGAAGGGGTTTAAGGCAAAGGGCGTAAGCAAGTTAACTGCTCTTGTTACCTGTGACAGCACTAAAGGTGTTGGGAAGAATTGTAAAAAGTCTAGTGCTATAAGCAAAGAAGGAAGATCAACCGGAAAGGCTTCACCCTCAGTGGTGGTAGACCGCGTTAGTTTTACAACAGAAACTCTTCAAGTTGAAGACTTCAACACAGTTCTGCAAGCACTGCATCATCTCCAACTAAGTATGCTGGGCAACAGCACGTCATGAGCAGAAGTCTGCATGGGCGAACAATTCAGCGTTCGTTAAACAATTCTGCACATTGTCCAGTAAATTATTCTCATGTTTTTACTTATCCACCGCCACCCTCTTCTGCGTGTGCCAAATACTTTTCAAACTTCTTTATCGTCTGCACCAAAACAACAATTATTCGTCCACCTTAGAAGACTTCTTCCGGAGGCTCAACAACCTTTTGCTGTCAACCCGGTTGTGCCATTAGTCTCTTGCAGTTCTGTCGCCCTTCGATCACGTTTGCTTTAGTTGTTCTCAGTTATTAAAGCCAGGAGGAGATATAGCCAGTCCTCTTCACAATCTTACGATAACATCCAGAATACAAAGAAATTATCGCGATCCTCTTACTGGAGAAGTAAGAAATAAAGAAGGAAACGCATATTTCCATGCAAACTTAGATTGTGTCAGGATGAAACAACCCTACATTATGCCCCAAACTACTACACTACCGACAAATATTTTAAAACACCTTAGGCCAGAGCATTTACAATTTCTTCCGCTTTTAGGATTTAGTATCTAAAAAGTGCACTCACTATTTGAAATCGTTTGCACAGATACATGAAACAACCATACTATCTTCATTTAAAGCTCATACGCCAATAATTTTTTTTGCACCTTTTTTTAACTGAGACATTGATATTTCAAATCAGTCAACAAAATTTGAATCACTCTTTATTACCATAGCAAATATGTCGGCGAGTACGAACATCGTTTCAAAAATAATGTCAGTACTTTTAAGCTACTGAAATCATTGGTAAATACCAGTATTTTGAAAGTGATTGGTGTCAATATTATTAGAGTGTGTTGTTGTGGTCTTGGTGTTGTTTGTAGTTCTTCTGCCCTTTTTCTTTAGTTGTGAATATTTGACGGTTCTGTTGATATGTCCGTTTATTGTGTTGTTGTCTTTACTTATTCTGCATGATAGTTTTATAATTTTTTTTAATGGTAGTTTTTTCATTTCTAATAATTAAAAGAATAAACAATAAAAAATAACTTAGCAATATTCGCTAGTTTTATTCCGCGTTTCATCCCTATTTCCGCTCCACGTTTTATGCTCAATTCCGCGTTTTAACCCCCATTCCGTTCCGCATTCCGCTTCCGTGTATTATCATAACCCGTCAAAGATGAATCTGTTAGAAAGATTGTAATTGGAGACATGTATACTAAATACATGTACTTTATACATAAAGTTTGCTTTTTTCAATGTCCGTGAGATAATTTCATACGGCACATAATGTACATCGACTTAGACTTGCGAAGTTGATTGTACGAGCATTTTAGAGAAAAAACAATTCACAAACTGCACGTTTATGCATGAAAAGGTATATTTTGTACCAAGTTGTACCAGTTACGCACGAGATTACCTGTTGGAAGACAACGTTCATAAAACAATGTAGAACCTTATACAATCTCACTTGTAAATTCATTACTAACAATGATGTAATGATTGTAATCCTCCGTGATACATCATCCAAATCAAACTTGCACAAAAATTAATAAATGCACAACATTGACAGCAATCACAGTAGAATGTATAAGATTATTTGATCGCCAGCATGCCAGCGCAGTTTCCATAGGAGTTTACTATGTAGATTACGCATGAATTACATACAAATATATATATAAAATCAAAAAAATACCCCAAGACATGTATTCCAAATAAAATAGCCGATCCAAGAATACACTGACACGAGTTGAAATTTCTTTGTATAATTTTCTTGTTGTTTACTGGGCATTTTTGAGATCTATCCTTAGAATCAATAAAAGAATGAGCATGCATATGTTCTAAGTATTCCATGACTAATCAAGCTTTTTTCACCTTTGTTCTGAATGAAAACTTTTCCTGTAGCACTCATAAACAAATATTGCTCCCTTTCTGTTGTAGTGAAATTTGAGACAACAATTTGCATCACTAATAGACCCAAACAAGCGAACTTAAGTGAAAGACCCACTGATCTCTGCAGGAATCAATCATAAATTACCACAAGCGTTTTGTTAGCCATTGTGTAGAATGCGGTTTGGTAACCTAATTGATTAGTTTTTATAATACTAATACTAATCAAGGAAATGAATTGAAATAATTAACTCTAAAATTCTTAGACTTTTCAAATAAATTTACCATAAAATGTGGAACTGTTATAAATGTCTACTCAAATGATCTAATTTCTTTTGGCTGCAAGCTGTAGCCTTCTTGATTTCAGAGTAAAAAAGCTTTCATTCTGTTCACCAGCTCAAAATGGGACGGAGTCCGCCCATAGGGGGGTCTGGGGGAATGCTCCCCAAAAAAATTTTTAAGTTTTAACTGTCTGAAACACGTTTTCCTGCATTTTGAGGGCAGAATACAGAAAATTACTCTTATGACTAAATCGAATAAAATGATTGAATTTTACGAGTTTTTTTTTCTAATTTTGCCAATAAAAGCATGAGCGTCATGGATAAAAACGTATAATTTTGACAATTTCGTTAAGCTTCTTCCAAAACTGCTGCTGGATTGCCTCTTCTTTTTTAAAAAATAGAGAGTGCAGCATCAGACAAGCACATAGCAAAGGCGTTTTTATATGAAGTAAATGCCCCATCCTCAGGTAAAGATTTGATAAGGGAGTGGTATGAAGCATTTTCATATAACTCAATGATGGTAAGCCACTGCAGTCTGATGGAAAGATTTTCATTTGCAATCAGGGCAATTGAGCAAGCATTGTAAAGACAATTTTCATCAGCCAAAGTACTAAACCAAGTTGAGTAGAAAATAATAGGTACATAAATTATTTTTTTAATGTTATGTATTGAGGAAAAGCTCATTATTTATTAATCTATAGGGAACAAAGCAACAAGCTTAGAGAATTAGTTGCAATTTTACAGCAAACTTTAAAAATTGAGAAGAATATTTATTGTTTATATAACAATAGGGTACAAAGCAAACATCTTAGAGAACACAGTTGCAGTGTTATAGAAAGTTCTTAGAACTGAGGAGGTGGCTTATTTTTACATCTATATGGTCAAAGCAACCCAATTTCAGGAATACAGTTGCAGTGTATGGCAAGCATTAAAAATTGACAAGTAGCATAATTATTTATATACACTTTCGGGTACAAAGCAAACAGCATCAGGGACACAGCTGCATTCTTACAGCAAGCTTTAATAATTGAGGAGGTGGCTAATTTTACATATATCTATATGATACAAAGTAACCATTTTTAGGAATAAAGAACTTTGTATAAAAAACTTAGCAAGCTTAAGTATTGAGGAGGAGGCTTATTATTTATATGTTTAATATGGTACAAAGCAACCAATGAGCTTTGAGAATACAGTTGCAGTGTTATAGCAAGCATTAAAAATTGAGAAGTAGGATTATTTTATACACACATATATCAATAGAGTAAAAAGCAAACAGCTTTAAAGACACAGCTGCAATGTTATAGCAAGCTTTAATAATTAAGGAGATGGCTTATTTTCAATGAAAACATGAGGTCATTTTAATGAACGATGAGTGTCTGACCACCATATTAATTCCATTTGATACATAAATCACTAAGGTTAAGAAATATAAGGCCATAAGCATAATCAAGTGATTTCTATCATCTATAGCAAGTAACTACGTCAGAATCGATCTTACTGGTGCACAAAGCAATATGTCATTCTGACTCTGCAAAAAAGGCAATTTTGAAAATTCACAAGATCATACTCTTCGCAGTTATTCCAATTTGCTTGTTCAAGCTCCCATTTGCACCAAAAAGCGTTCACGCCTTATGGTAAAGACAAAGATTGAAATCCATCAGTGAGACTTGAATGGGCGGTTGAGGGCATGCAATCTTAACGACGAAATGCTTTATTGTATTTTGTCTAAGACTGCCAGACACAAGGAAGCCTGCGTGAAAAGATTTCATGTCGCAAGTATGTCGAAAGACAACGATAACACGATCATATTCATGGGAGAAAGAGATACTGCTATCAAAATCCATCATGTGACCGTTTAAAAAAATGGAAAAATTACATGCAGCGATTGCCCAAGTTGGAAAGCACGAAGTATATGAACGCATTCCTTGGCCACGGAAGAAAAGCTTGGCATGACGTCCAAATTTTTGAAGGGGTTTAAGGCAAAGGGCGTAAGCAAGTTAACTGCTCTTGTTACCTGTGACAGCACTAAAGGTGTTGGGAAGAATTGTAAAAAGTCTAGTGCTATACGCAAAGAAGGAAGATCAACCGGAAAGGCTTCACCCTCAGTGGTGGTAGACCGCGTTAGTTTTACAACAGAAACTCTTCAAGTTGAAGACTTCAACACAGTTCTGCAAGCACTGCATCATCTCCAACTAAGTATGCTGGGCAACAGCACGTCATGAGCAGAAGTCTGCATGGGCGAACAATTCAGCGTTCGTTAAACAATTCTGCACATTGTCCAGTAAATTATTCTCATGTTTTTACTTATTCACCGCCACCCTCTTCTGCATGTGCCAAATACTTTTCAAACTTCTTTATCGTCTGCACCAAAACAACAATTATTCGTCCACCTTAGAAGACTTCTTCCGGAGGCTCAACAACCTTTTGCTGTCAACCCGGTTGTGCCATTAGTCTCTTGCAGTTCTGCCGCCCTTCGATCACGTTTGCTTTAGTTGTTCTCAGTCATTAAAGCCAGGAGGAGATATAGCCAGTCCTCTTCACAATCTTACGATAAATCCAGAATACAAAGAAATTATCGCGATCCTCTTACTGGAGAAGTAAGAAATAAAGAAGGAAACGCATATTTCCATGCAAACTTAGATTGTGTCAGGATGAAACAACCCTACATTATGCCCCAAACTACTACACTACCGACGAATATTTTACAACACCTTAGGCCAGAGCATTTACAATTTCTTCCGCTTTTAGGATTTAGTATCTAAAAAGTGCACTCACTATTTGAGTACCCACCTTTGCAATCGTTTGCAGAGATACATGAAACAACCACACTATCCTTATAGGCATAAGGCGCATGCGCCAATAATTTTTTTTTTGCACCTTTTTTTAACTGATACATTGATAATATTTCAAATCAGTCAACAAAATTTGAATCATTCTTACGTCATTGTTACGTCACTCTGGGATTACATTCATGGTATTGCGTCAGCGCCCATGTGACAATGTTGAAGCGACCCTGCTTGTGAGCGTTGTCTGTAAATTTCGAGGTGCATTCTGTTCTATATATTTGCTTTTTGCAAAGAGAATTCTGATACAAATTCTACTTTAAGTGATCTCTATGACGTAATCGTACTGTAGTAAGCTATGGTATTGACCTAATGATAAACATAAGGGTTTCATGTATGTTGGCTAACATGTAGATGATTTTAGATATGAATATTGGCATTATGAAACAGTAAACATTAATAATTTTATGTTCTGGCTAAGGATATGGCTAACATATTAGATTAAGGATCAATTTTGCGTATTTTAGAATTTAGAGCACGAAATTATTACCTAAAAGACAGTTAGTACTCATAACTTGCACAATCATACATCCCAAAGTTTATTTTCTATATCTTCCTTATTCTGACTTCTCGTGGACATTCGGAGATCATATGTGTATTTAAAAATTATGGACAGCTTTTTGAGACGGGAGTGAGAACATTTAACGATTTTACCGATATAATTGTTGTATTTTTTAATTCTTCTGCCAAATATATAAAGCTCAGAAAAACAAAATGTTTTGTTTGGTGTATTCACACCATAATATGGGCAAAATATAGAGAAAATTTGTTCCTTTTGTTAGCTTTCAGAATGGCGCGAACGTAACGAATTTGTTGTGAAATGCCTAAAACAATTACACATACCCCAGACGGCCAAATAAAAAGGTATGCCAGCGATATCCTTCATGAGTGTGGCTTGCGGTTAATTTTTTTGCACAGCGAAAACTTTTCGCACTGAAGATGTTTGTTTTCCATTCGGATTAAATTTCGTTTCGCTTTGTGAATCAATTATTTTGCATTTAGGCGTTTGTTTTGTATTACGTATTATTTCATTTTACCAAACTAATTTTCTGCGCAAGAAACAAATTTCTTTTGCATCAGAATCTTTGGTTTTTCATTCACAAATTTGTTTTGTGAATTGCACGTGCGGGCCACCGTATTAAACGGATATGTTCTTGCAAAAAATTTTTTGAACGTTTTTACTAGTAATTGTAAACATTGTAGAGCTAAGTCATAAATGTGCCTTGAAATAGGCAATAATTAAAAGACAGTGCAACACTTTGGACTACTACCATGTGTTAATACAACTAATTTAAGTCTTCATTTTCAATGTTATCGCAATGAATCACTTTAATTGTCATTCCATTTTGTTCATCTCTAACTTTGTCGTCATCATCTCCTGAAAAAATTGTCAAACTTAGTATAAGCGGACTATTTTGTAAAGAACATTCTTGGTGATCGTCAAGAATGACCACAAAGTCGGCCTCGTGTACAGACAAGCAGAGCCAAGAAGTAGCTACACAAATTATGGACTTTTCTCTTCAAAACATTGTTTTTTCTCAATCAAAAATTAATTGCCTTTCTAGAAATGTATATTTTGAGCCCTTTTGTAAAAGGCGAACTATGCTCAACGTATTTCGCCCAACGCTACTGCACCCTGGGATCATGCAATGAAGCATTTTGCATCTAAATCGTCAATTGTTTCCTGTAATCAAATATCCTATGTATAAATGCACATGGCTTTTAACCCCTTCTCCACAAAATAACATTGAGGTGACGTCATTCAACGCTAGCGCTAATATTTGAGCGACCGCTAATTTTTGTGCGACCACTGATATTCTGATAGCGAATAATGATAAACACAAGCATAGCAACTTTCTTCTTCTCGAATATCCTGCATTATTTAAGCTGTAACTCACCAATAACTCATCTGAGCAGGCGAATAATACGTGGCAACATTATGAAAGATATAAATTCTACTTCAGAGCACAGTTCCTCTTCAATGCTAATTTATAACGTTTTTCAATTTCTATGAATAACTCAATGTGTTTTATTGGATGATCACTTCATGTAAGATAGTTTTAGAAAGGATTTGGTTCGATAAAAATGGGCACAGAAAACAACCAATTCTTCCTACCTCATCAGAGTCCAAGAGTGATGGCAGTGCACTGAAAAATAAGAGAAAGAATATCCTATCATGATAACCAGGAAATATAAAATCAAAAGCTATTGAGGCTAACTAGCTCAAGAATGCGATGAAGGAGATTGGAGGCAGTTTAAACGGGCTAAGAGCAAATTTACCAATGTTACTCTAACTTAGATCGTCCAGGTCAGTAGAATCCTGAGGACTGTTGATGTGGTGTTGACTGACGTTTCGACAACCTTAGTCAACATCAACACCAACAATCTTTCCCAGGACTCCACCAACATACAATCTACAAAGCGAACAGGCAGTTTTCACGTGGTCTAGCCGGATTTGGGGTCTTAAAAAGGCCCGTTTGGCAGGCAAGTAATGAGCACAAAACAGTCAATTGTTTAATTGATTCCCTCTCCCTTTCTCTTTTTATTCAGGCTAAAGGCACCAGATAATTAGAAAAAATATTAAAGAACATACGTGTCGATTCCACCAGAAGTTGGGATGTTCTCCTCGACCCACTTTAAATCATCTTCCTGTAAACACAACTTCAATTGACATGATGTATAATGCAGTTTGATTTTGAATATTTCTTACATTCTATCGTCGAAAACGCCAAATAAGAATCAAAACTATCGAAAGGACGTAAAGGCTAAGCCGAGAAATTATATTGCCTTAAGAACAGTTAATTTCCCTAATGAAAGCAAGATGATCATCTTTGCACAGTTAAGAAGACGTTTATTGGGCGTTCACTCCGGATACTAAATAAAGTTATTATTCTTCTTCTACTACTGAAGTTCCATCTTTGTTTAGCTATATATGTGTATTGGCCATAATTGCCAAATAGCACATCGGAATGGCAATGCAATCTCACTTTTGGCAATATATTGTGTAAGTAAATCATGTTTCATTATACGTGTTATTAGTGACACTTACGCGTAAAACAATGAAATAACAATTTTGATTGGTTCAAGGACTTTGTGTCATTCATGCGCGATTTATGTAAGCGGTTTAAAAGAAACAGGAAATTTCACACTCGGGCGTCGCGCTTACCCTCAGTTGCCCGAGTAGCTAATAAGTAAAACTCGCAAATATAGGTGAACTGAGAGGAAGCCAAGGTCATGCGACTGCGTGGTTTCTGACGATAAACTCACTAACAAACAAAAATGCACAAAATTACCGCTTTTTTTCTTTGCTTTTCACCAGGTGGAACACTTTCTCCATCATTTTTGTTACGCATTTTCATACCTTCTACAAAAAAAGGAAAGACATCTAAGCAGGCAAATATGAAAGCAACACTTTCTCAGTAACATATCTCACTTTGGTCGATAGTTTCTTACTCTAAATGCAGGAGTAATAAGTTGAATTTGCTCGTTTGTACATATAACAATAAAAATACAATTACATAATTATCATCTATAGGCTGCATCAAAAAGCCCTATAGAAATTAGGTACTGTGATAATTTCAATGCCTATCACTATGTTTAACTCACGGGTGCATTAAGTATTGTCAGCCACTTGTTTATCTTACATATCTTTGTCACAAGCACAAAAGCTTTTTAGTTCCAGGGAATTTCACATAACTTGATGATTTTACAGCCTCACACAGTGAGTGTGAGTGCAAGTGACACCCGTTTCAAACGTCAAATTTCACATATCAAATCACGCGTTGTTTTCTTTTGTTTTTCACGCATTCGGCACATGTAAAATTTGACGTTTGAATTAGGCCTATAAGCTTTTAGAATACGAGCGTTAGTATTCATGACATAAGAAATAAATTATAGAGCGCTTTCACTCTTTTCCTAAAGATCACGAAGTAAGCAACCTTATTAATTATCCAAAGAGCTCATTAAAAGTATTTTCATTAGGTACACAAAAATGGCAGCTATAACGTGAGGTGAAAACGCTCTATAGTATTTACTATACTTTAAAATCAACGTTTATTTGTAAGCAGATCTAGTATAGAATTACGAGTGAACACATACGAAAGGCATCTGATAAAGTAATGTCGTCATCTTCATCATCTTCACCAACATCAACCAACGGTGTAAACGCGTATCTAAGACAAAGACAGAGATTTGAGTCATTGAGTCGTAAAGTTATTGGAAGATCATGGGGTACTTTAAATAACACCGTCATTGACTTCACGAATTAAATTTAGCACAAAACGATAGTGAATCTGTGCTTGTCACTAGAGAATATAATTATTATCAATGATTTAGATTAATGATCCTTTGATTATTAACGATTTCCTAACAATACCGCAGTCCAGGCAGTGCAATAAAAATATATTTTGAAAAGGCCTATTAAAGGGAAATCATCGACCATATATTTTGTGCCGTAGCGGGGTTTAAATAAGAGAGAGCCTGACAAATCACCATAAAACACAGAGATTTTAGTCGCAAAAAACAGAGAAGACAGCACGATGAAAAATGATCCATCAGTAACGTTGTAACTTTTCCAGAAATGTCAAAACTACAAGAGTAGTTTCATGTATAAAATGGAAAACATACCGTTGGTTATTTGCAGTAGGCCGCCATAACACCATTATAGCAAGAAGTACGAGAGCAAAGAGAAAATGCCAAAATGCATCATCAATCCAAACCTCTTTCCAGTCCTAAACATAATATTCTGGTTATTTTTTCCAATGTCACGCGATGATTTTACGGATATTTCATCACTAAATACCTCGATGCAAACTGCAAATGAATGTGTTTTGATAACCCAAACCATGAATCCAACAGATGCTAATGAAAAAAATTTCATGAGCAATAAAGAAAAAAATCAAACCAATAGCAAGTTGTGGGAGGGAAGATTATAAAGGCTTTGATTGGTTGATAGAGTTTGAGCTCATAAGTCAAACGTTTGTTGATTTGCTATGTCCAGGGACAGAAATATTGTAAGATGAGAATTTGAAATGAGAATTTCAATTTTTTGAATAAGAGAGCCTCAGAGGATAATTGATTTCAACGACACAGAAATCCTCCTAGAATCACAGAGAACCCACTCAATATGTCATAAATATGAAAAATACATGAAAGTGTGTTTGTGTGTGTGAGTGTGGGGGAGGGGGGGACAGCCGAAATATACTCCCACTAAATCAAAATTGCAAGAAGAAACGTGTTTATAGCTGCACTGTATAGCTACATAATTAGAAAGATTAAAATTAAGTAATCATGGCTGCACAAGCGGGGTGAAGAAGCTAAGTGGTCGCCTATGGGAAAAAGTTGTACAATAATTTACTCCTCAATCGTTATGTTGATACGCTAGTGTTATGATATAGTAGTTGAGCGAATAGTTAACTTGATGTGCGTACATCATGTTTTTGTATTTGTGGCATTTAGATAGTTCAGGATACTTTGAAAACTTTTGTAATATATTTTATAGTTTGAAAGTATGATTTTGCAGGATTTTTTGGCACTCATAGTTAAAAAATTGACTATTTACATTGCTTGACCGCCAACATAAAAAAGCTGGTAACAAATCTTATTTTTAACGTCACAACGGGAATTCGTCTACTTTGTTTATAATAATACACATGAAAAATTTCTCTCGTCTGATTGGTTAAGAGCAGCGCAATTTATCGTAAATACCAGTTCAAAAACAGGAAACAGAGTGCAAAAAAAATGAAATACAGTGCTATTTATTTTAGATTGGTTACGTCAAACAACGAAGTGATTTAAGAGCCGATCAAAATAAAACATTTCAAAGGCAGGAAAGTTAAATTATTGTAAACAAAGCAATTACAATGGCTGGCGTAAGTTTTAAGTAAATTTTCTTTGGAAAACGAGTTTACAGTTCACGGTTTGCAAGATGTTTCTTGATAAAAATATGAACACTGCTAAAATCGAAGCAACGATGTTGTGAAAAGTAATTTCCGACGGAATTGAAATGTATGAGCCTTGGCTGAAGTCGAAAATCAACCGAATTGACAAATTTTTCATGTATCTTATTAATAAGTAATAGCATAGCTTTTCGTACAATTTGAGAAAAACAAGCACTCGTGAGTTTTTCATAGTCTTTGAAAAACTCACTCGTGTATGTTTTTCCCTTATTGCACTCGAAACCATGTTATTACCTGTACAAATTAGATGTTTTCAAAAATGCACGACACATTGTGTAATGCGACACTTCTTAAGATCTTATAAACTATCTACATAGGCCAATTGGAAAAACATGATATACATAAATATAGCAATAATCAAAATGACATGACGTCATAAGTGAACGTGACATCCACCCATGCACAAATGCACAATTTTTAACCACACGAAAGACTTCAAAGACTCCCCGAATAAGCTCATTTTCAATATGTCGAGGCACTCACACATAAACTTCTCAACTTTTTAATAGGCTAGAAAGGGTAAGTTTGCACCATGCCTGTTGAGAGTTAGCAAACTTACCTAACACAGCAACAGCTAAAATATTCGTGAAATGACGATAGAGCGATAATTTGATGACGTTCTTCCGGATTCTCAATGTTCTCATAGTTTGCAATAAAGACATGAAAATCCACCAACATATGACCGCATCCAAAACTGATAGCGGAATAGACGCAATCATTTGCTTGCGATTCACATCCACTTGTACCTGTATATAAAAGGGAAAAGTATTAGGATTGCATCAAGCAGAACAAAAAAATAAAAGCTTTCGCTCGTTGGAAAGCCAATGTAAATAAAAAGATAACAAAGCTTAGCATAAACAGGTCATATCGGCGCGCTTGCGTATTAATTCATCGCTAACGTCTAGAGCTATGAAAAATCTATGTAATCCTCTTCTTGTCAACAAAAGTTCTTTTTCCCTGAAAAATAATTTAATTGCTGTAAATGTCTTGTTCATGTGCACATTTGAACATCATACTAATTGTGCAAATGATCTACTGTTCATATGCATTGCTTGAAAAAAGAATATGTTCGAAATACGTTTCCTTTCACTTTCGTATCTTTTGACAGGGTATTTTCCGGTATAAAATGTCGGTCGGCGCTAAAATATGATTTCTTTATCGCACACAATAGTTTTACATGCTTGGAGTTACCTATCTTTTAAATCCATAGCAACTAGAATTTAAAAAAGAACACTGAACATAATCCTTCCAGGTGAGACCTCTCGTGAAGCTTTGCATGAGTGGGCTTAAGCCTGAATTGTCATCGTCTGGGTGATAGACGCACGAGCTTTTTAAAAAAACGTTTGAACAAATATCTCAAGGTAACTGCTTATCTCATCATATAACCCCAACGATATAATATATATATAGTTTGGGGCAAATGATGAAATAAGCGGTTACCTTCATATATTAATATATATTGGTAACCGCTATAACCCTATAGGGAGTGCATTAATTATAAATTACGCAATTTTAACAATTGGACATTCTATAAATGTAGAACTGATCGCTTTCAGAAAAGTGTCCTCCCGTCATGATTCGAGTTTCAAATTCCTACAAACATTGGATATTTTTATACTTAAATACATAAATATCTTAACTTTAGTTAACCAATATAACTATTACATTAAAACAAACTTTGCTATAATATCGTAATTCGCTTTCTTGCAATAAAGTGCCATTAAACATGGGGAAATAAAAGAATGGAAAGAAACCTATCGCAAAAAATGTCGTGTAATATACACAAATGATGAAGGCAGCAATAGACAGAAACAATTGACAGATTACTCTACAATCCATTTTGGATTGTAGAATGTACTTGTTGATCTGTTTTTAGATTCAAGAACACGGAAAACAGGAACAAGAAAAGAGTAAAACCGGGTTGCTATGTAACGCACTAGACAATAGATTAAAATCTTACAGATAATTCACGGTACGATCCCTCCACTAAGCTGAGTACAAAATATAAGCTGCTGACGGCAAGAATTCGATGAAGAGCATTTCCAAGACGAGGTCTGTAAGAAAAATAAACGTTCCTTATGCATCTTGCATGGCGTCATTAACGTCCAGTTGAATTACATTTCAACGCCTACCTTTTTTTAAAGTGCTTATATTACGAATTTTAGCCCCCCCTTTTTTATGAGCTTAATTGAAAATTTGGATTATTTGAAGAACTATGACATGTCGCTGGACTTAAACAGATAAATATAAGTTCCTTAATTTTGCCTCCAAAGTCGGGTACTATTTGCGAATTTATTACGACGCCATATTGATACTTGTGACGTAGATAGTTGAACACGTCTGTTTCCGTCAATATAATATTATATTATAGGAGGTGATTTTGTTGTCGTTTTTCTTGTCTTAAAAACAAATAATGACAGTATTTTCAATGAAATATTAAAAAACAAGTTTTCCGGAAAGTATGGCCTCAAATCAGTGCTCAGATAATTCGAATTCGATGTCTGAATGCGTATCTGATTCGAGCTCGGAATCCGTGGGTTATGTCGAGCATTTAAACGACTTCGCATAAGACGATGAACCGCTGGCAGGAGATGGTGATGAAGTGCATACTCCAGATGATCCCGATGGAATTCTCCCTGCGACATTAGAACGAAGTGATGACGTAATTCCACTCGGTGAATGATAAGTTGTTGTTTTCTCCTGTTTGTAATATACATAAAGTTACTTTATAAACCACAATGCTCCCACGTTTCAGGTGTAATTGTCAATGCTGTCATACCGATTTGTTAGAAGGCGCATTAGAGTACAGATGCTGTATAGAAATAGGACCAGCTTTGCAGAAAATGACATTCGATGGCAGCATTGAGAAAATATCATGCATAACACCGCATGCCAAATTTGGGCCTTTAGTTCATGAGGCTGTCCTTGAAAACGTCGGGCCACTATTGAGAGATAGGAATGGACGTGCTTATCGCCGCCAAGCATCACAATCATTAAATATGTAAGATTGTAAATTGTATGAGAAACAATGTTATCATCAACATTGTTTCATCAACAATAATTAGTCCAACGTTTTTATTTACTTCAGGTACTTGAGAGCTGTCGCATACAGATGGTTGATGCGATGGTTTTGTGGGTCTATGGGATGGGAGAATACTCGGCCTTTACCTGCCTGTGTTTACCACATAAAGTTCTTTTCAACACATTTACCACAATTTTGCTCTACAATGGCCATCGAACCAATGTTTTTAATGTGTACTTTTGGATTTTCAGCCTTGCAGTTAAAGCAAAATATTTCAAATATCTCAACCAATGAGATGTAAAATACCAGGAACATAGGTTGTTCATGCGAGCTTGCTCCTTCATCAATTCTGTAACACGATTAAGAAAATTCATTATTATGAAATACAACAGAGATCTAATTCTTTATAAGATAAAATACCTGACTGTATTGTGGTATCTTCATCTAAATCTTCACTCTGACTAGACTCTTTGAAAGAGGAGTAGTCCATGTATGATTCTCCTTCGAAAGCTCTTCAGCACTCCCCTGCATTCCATCGTCTATATTAATGCTGGTCACCACGGATGTAGTACGATTTTCCCTGATTTCGCTTCGATATTCATTTTGCAAATTCTGGGCCTTTTTCTTCAAAGATGCTTTTGTCTTTTTATACCAGCTTAAAGTCTTTTGTAAAGATGTAAGTTTTTTCTTAAGACGATGGCACGACTTACATGGAGACTGGGATTCACAAATATCTTCACCAACTGCATGTAGTTCTTCTTAAAATGGAGAATCGTTTGCTTCCCCAGTGCATGCTCAGCTCCATCACTAGTAGATGGTACTTCCTCATCGAGAAAACATGTTTCCTTCAGCGATGGCTTATGGAGAGTATGTCGAATAATCTACAAAACTTATATCGAATTTACATATGACAAAAGAAAAATTAACATAAACAAGCGTAAACTAACTTGTCTTCGCTTTCTATCGGTTATTTCGTCCTGTAATGGTTCAGGAATCCCAGCAACGTCAATGGTTGGGATAGCATCTTTCTTTAACCTTCTTTTGAGCTTCACTTGCACGCTCAAATTAAGGTCAAAACAAGAATCTTCAAAATGCGCAGAACACAGACACGAGGTAGAGGAAGCCTCAAAACCCGGTCTATGTTTACGCACAAAATTCACCCATTTTCTATGTCTTTGCGGCTCTGTTTCTTTTTTAGGAAACAGTTGCATCGACATTCCTTCGGTTTTTGAATCATTGGCGCAACTAATTTGATTAGGTCCACCAGCAACACAGCGTTTTCCTCCGCGTTTCTTATTAAGATTACTAGTAGAATACGCCATGTTGATATATGTGTTCAACTTTCTACGTCACAAGTCATTTGCATACCGATCAAAAAGTTCGCAAAAAAATGCTGAAAATCGTGACTTTGAACGTCCGTAAAATCACTTTCACCAATCCAATTTCAATTATAATTGCAGATTTAAAATCACTGAAACAAGGTCTTTCAATTAAGCTCATAAAAAAGGGGGGCTAAAATTCGTAATATAAGCACTTTAAACTGCAGCACACAAGTGAGTTTTTTAAAGACTGCACACACATATCAAAAGTCCGAAGAACCAGCGTTTTTTAAATTTAGATTTAAGAAAAGATTTGTTATTTGTAACGGAAGACTTAAAGCTTGTAAAGAATTACAGCTTTTCACTTAAAATAAAACATGCTCACTCCACCAGTAGGATCTCTAATTTCACAATTAGCTTTCTATTGTAAAAGTCACACTTCTTCCACCTGTTATCTGTAAATGTCATTTATTTTAATTTAGTTTGCTTGTCTTGCGTACTTCCGCTTCTTCATCCGCACGCGTTGTAAATATATATGTGTATGCAAAATGTTGCAAGATCATTCTGTCTGAGGATGGTTTTGAAATAAAGTCGAAAATTTACAATTTCGTTTGCGTCTTGTATTTAAAAAAATTTTGCTATCTCAAGATGACTTGTTTTTTGCTCCTTTTTTGCTTTACTTTTTTAAATTATCGCCTGGAAATGTTTTTTTAGACGATTAAAATTGTGAAAATATTAGTTTACATACAACACAACTGCAGCCATGTTTTTTTGAACTGAAAAGAAGATTGTTGGGCTTTCACTGCTTTTCAGGCAATAAGGTTATCGTATTTACAGTGCAATTTCACTTTTCTGCGGGGCAATTATAGATAAACTACAAGCAATCAATCAGAATCGAAAACGATGATTTATCGATCGCAGTTTTAAACTCTTAATCTACTGAGAGTGGTCACCTTTTGCGCGGTATGACTGTGTGCATCCAAGTCTTTTCTAAAGGTACTGTTCAAATGGGAGTTATGACTTACAACACTTAAGTGAAAAATGATATAACGTCTGTCAGTTATCTCGTACAGTTACAGGATTGTGAATATTTAAGACATACGACGACGTCACAACTTTTCATGCTCTCATAGCTTCACTATCACGAATAAGCCCCAACACTCTGGTAAGTTTAGTTTTACAGCCATAATCTATTCGGCCTAACAGTCTGAATTCATCTAAATCTTCCTAATACAGCTTAACATTGTCCACAAAAAGTAACAGAAAAAAAAAATTCCTCACGACTAGACAAAATTTACTTACTTGACAATACCGAAACCCATGCTTACAATGAGAATGAGTACTCGAGAGAGAGTTCGCTTGATGCATGACAGAACAAGAGCCAGAACGACAAGCCCATGAGCTAAAATTTACATTTGCTTGAGTTAAAATTCTATACACGCTAAAAAGTGTTCAACACAAGCAAAAGATTAGTGAAGCCATAAAGAGCAGCAACATTTTTCGAAACGGAAAATATACTTTTGCTTTGCATCAGAAGTCGAGAGAAAATTAAAGGCGAACAAATAACGCAGACAAGTATCGAGTTATTAATCCACGAAAACTTTTTGCTTCACGAATGTGCACATATTTATGTAAGTACAGATAAAGAAATAACTTCTTTTCATAGTTAAGTCGACTTTTTGCCAAGATTATTTGCAATATATTAGATAGGTCAAAAGTTTTATCTTCGTGGACTTTCTGCGTCTATGGTGACTCGGATGCTACGTAAAAAGAAGAGCACTGCATTCAAGACAGAGTAGCTTCATCATACAGGTTTATAGTAAACAATAAAACTTTTTTTGGCAAATCTTCCTAAAAAAAACTGCAACATAAATTTAAGATGCCGCATATGTGTATAGTTTGACGATATCGTTTGAAACCTTTAAAAACTAAAACTGTTCGGACGCTCTTTCCCACGGAAGCACTATCATATTGTACGACAGGTAAACTATCAACTTTACGTCACTTTCGGTACCGAGTCACTCAATTTTAGCCGTAAAAAAGTCCATGAATAGAAAATTTTCGACCTAACAAACATATTGCAAATAAATCGATCCTACTACTTAAAGAACATGTTTCCTTTACACTGATATAAGGACTTTAATCACTATGATCATGCATTCACGACGTTTAGTTATCAGAAGTATCTCACATCACATTTCTCATTGCGCTTTACATTCAAGATATTTCTAAAACAGAAAATTAGCTAGGTCAACGTATGGCATATTTTACCTGGCACACCAGTGTCATTAACATTGTTGTATTCTGAAAACAAGATGGCCTTTTCCAACATTCCTAAATAATGTCGTCGTAAATAAGAGATGAGCTGTAAGATTTGCAAGCGAAAAACTAAAAATTATATCAACTAAATATTAAAATCTTTGGTCTCAAAAAACAATACTTGATACGGTATACACACTTAACCCACAAAAAAGAGGATGATTGCTTTTTAAAGTATTTATACTACGAATTTTAGCCTCCCTTTTTTAGTAGCTAAATTAAAAGAATAGCTTTCGGGGATTCTATTTCTGCAATTTTTTATCAAATCTGATTTCCAGAAGTGATTTATTAAGGTTCAAAGTTGCTATTTTAAGACATATTTTTGCGAGCTTTTTAACGTTATGTTAATGAGGTGTGACGTAGATAGTTCAACCATTGAATTATAAATATACTGAAATGATAACACGGTGGGGATTAAAGCCGTGTTTGATAGGTAGTGCCAGTCCTTTGTAACCTTAGTTTTTCAAAATATACTCTTTTTATATCGCAAAATCCCACCCTTTTCTGCTTGTATAATACCTTCATTATTTAGCTTTGACTATAAAAGAGGCATTAAATTTTTCACTCAAGTAACTACATTGAACAAAGGTCGTTTAGTTTCTGAAATAGCATCTGACAAAAACAAAAGTTGAAGAAAACCGCGCGAAAACATTCGCTTTTTCAGAGTTATAAGAAGTTGTAGATATGCCTACCTGTTTCTAATGCCAAAATATTGTAGTTCCCGGTCAAATACACAAACTATTAAAGTTTCCAAAAATTTGAATCATCGAATAAAGAGAAAAGTGTGTTTTTTAAGAAGCATTTTTCATGTGACGAAAATTGCAATTACATATATTGCTCGGTGTGTCATAATGAAAACAAAAGATTCTCACAGAAAAAACTATTTAAAAAAGCCTTTTTCATGTCATGTATAAATACAAATAACTTGTTTCATGTAAACAACGTCCGATTTTTGTATGTTGTGTGTAAAAAACCCAGTAAAAAGGAAAAGAAAATCAAGTGATCAGAATGATCATCCTCTATCAAGAAAAAAAGCACGACAAGGAAATAGAAAATGGTACAAGCAATCGTTTAACGATGCATGGTTAATAGAACCAGAATTATAAGACTGAATTTCAAAAGACCCCGGAAATAAATTCACAGTAAGATGCAAAGTTGTGAACATACATTCAACGGTCACAACAAGTCGGCTTTGATGACGCATAAAGCCACAAAAAAGCATAACGATGCACTTAAAGCCAAGCAAAACACTTTGAACGTAAGCAAGTTTTTCAAAAAGCAAACAGGGCCATATATATGTTGATAAAATGACAGCAAAAGCCGAAGTTTTGTTGTCTGGTTTTTTAGCTGAGCACCGAACGCCTTTCATTAAGGCCTTTCATTAAGGCCAGAAAAATATTTTTGCAGACAGCAAAATTGCGCAGAAAATGCAGTTGAAAAGAACAAAGGCATCGTATGTTATTCAAGAAGGAATTGCGCGAGAGAAAATCGAGTCGCTATCAGCAATCTGTCGAAAAAACAAATTTTCTCTGATCGTAGACGAATCAACAGATATTTCGGTCTCCCAAATTCCTGCTGTTGTTGTCAGATTTTACCATGAAAGGAAAGTGACTGATGCTTTATTGACTGCCCTTGACGTAGAAAATGGCTCTGCTGAAGGATTGTATACGGCTGTTAAGAAATTTTTTGAAGAACGAGCAATACCACTAAGTAATGTTGTTGGTTTTGATAGCGACAATTGTTCGACAATGATGGTTGGAAGAGGAGGTTTCCAAACTCTTTTAAAAAAAGATGTACCTGGTGTATTTGTCTTTGGTTGTATTTGTCACTGCTTTGCTCTCTGCGCGCACCATGCAAGTAGTCGCCTACCTTCTTGGTTGGAAGGATTTGCGAAAGACGTCTGCTGTTATTTTTCCTGTAGCAGTAAGCGACAACACTAATTCCGTCTCATACAAGATATTATGAAAGCACCTCGTCATAAAGTTCTCAAACTTTCACAGACAAGGTGGCTCTCTCGAGGCCAAGTTGTTGCAAGAATTTTAGAGCAATGGGATGCATTAAAACTTTTTTTCAATCTGAGTCTCAATGTGATCGTGTAGACCAGGCTGTCAAGATCTTCGAAACCGTGACGACAAATGGAACCAAACATATTATGGCATTCCTAAATTACATATTGTCAAAAGTTGATAGATTAAATGTTGAATTTCAAGTTCAAGATTTCAAGCTGCACACTCTGTACAGTTTTATGACAGATGAGTATAGAAGCATTTTAGCCCTGTTCATCAAAGACAAAGTAGTACGAGAAAAACCGTTGGACGAGATTAATCCAAACGACGTAAAAGATATACAAGCCTCTCAATGATATTCATCTCGGAGGAAGATGCGTAGGCCTGTGCTCTCAACAGTCTTTGGGTAACCAAGAACAACGTTTCAGAAGCGATTGTCGTAACTTCCTCGTGAGTTATGTAACCAAATAGAAAAGTGGTTTCCTTTCAAAAGTGATAGAGTTCTAGCTTTGCTATAAACTATCAACCCTTCAGAGGCATTGTCCACCAGGCGGTCACTAAACTTGATAGCGATATTAGCACACCATTTTCCGTCTTTAGTGTCTGAAGATCAGTTGGATGAACTTGATGAGCAGTGGAGGCAATTGTTTTATGCCACAGATTCTCTTAAAGGTATAGTTAACTCCCCAACTCAGTTTTGGGATGAGATCAGAGTTATTAAAGATGGTAACGGAAATAAGAAGTTTGAACTTTTGGGAAATTTTATGTGCAACCTTCCTGTTTTACCTCACTCATCAGCCAGTGTCTCGAGAGAAACTTTTCCGAAGTTAACATAATAAAGACTCCTCAAACCAACCGCCTACATTGCTCAACTTTGAGAAACAGACTAATTCCAAAACAAGCTATTGCTCGACAAGGTGCATATTGCTACACATGGGAGCCGTCAACTAAACTTGTAAGACGTACAATTTGGTCATTGTCGGAGAGAGAATTTTAATAAACATGGTCAGCGTCAAGAACAGAAAGAAAATGGAACTAATGTTTATGACATTATAAGTGAAGAGATTGTTGAAATAGGGTCTGGTTAGCATGCTTGGCAATTTTATGTACTGTTATGTTTCACGAAATTTCCTTGATCATGTAAAAAAATTGTATTAACTATCGTTTTTTATACAATTTATGATTTGAAGTAATATAAAAACAAAAATGATACGTTAATGGCGTACCCATGCCAAAGGAACTCCTCGGAAACAACTGTTTTGCTGTACCTGGAGGATCTTGGGATATTTTAAAGGATCTTGGGACTTTATCCCTAAAATCTTGGGTATTTCTAAAATAGTCAGTGCAACACTGTCTTCGCCAAATCATTATACGCTAGAATGGTGAAAGTGAGAATAGAAACTCTTATATAGTCTTTAATGTCAGTTTTTGTTCTCAAACACAATTTTTATGGTCAGAAATTGAAGGACAATGGTAGCTGGGCAATTTATATGCCATGAAATGCAACCTATGAGGTTTAAAATTGGATTTAAGGTGCGAAGGGGGGCAAACTTAGGTGCCTGATTAAAACAAGAAGTAAACAAATGATGTTTTCGCCGTCTGCTTCCAGTTTTGGATTCTTTTTTAATATATTTCGTTTAGTAAGTTTTTTTTTCTCTTTTGTACGAGCAAGCGTTAGTACTTGTTTTTAGCGAGCCGTTATTATGATTATAAGTTGTTTATAATCGCCGTATGCTTTGTATGCTTTAATGCTGATGAAAGAAAACAAAAAAACAACATCATTTCTCAACAGGAAGCTCTCACTAAAGCCTTAACTGACAGCATTGCTGCTCAGCAAAGGCAGCAAGAGCAACAAATGCATCAACTGCAACTTCAAAACACTGCTTTACTAACTACTTTAAATGGGCATTGTAGTTGAGGTAAATGAGGATAGGCAGGGTAACCATAAATGCAAACAGGAGTTTCGTTGTTCAAAGGATCTAGCTGCTGAAGCTTGTTATATAAACTGGATCGGGCAAGCATTGCGCTGTCATGGCGTCTACCTTCCACAGGACCAAAGAGATTAGCCACAAGACCATTTGGAACAGCAACTGACTGAAATTTTATGGCATTTTATAAAGAACTCTTTGATTTTGACCAGGTTTAGAAATTGGACGTACTGTCCCATCGACAAAACCAAAACAGTTTTCTAAGGCACCACCCTTCTGAAACACTGCATTACAAAGTTCTTGAACGTTGCCTGAAGATAACCATGGTTGATCAAATATTAACAGCAAACGGTTCCACTCCATGCATAAAACATTTATGACTGCATTACTGATCATACAGAGTTGAGGGATTGGTCTGCCAAATCTTGGTAACATATCCAGGTACCGGCAAAACGTTTCAAAAATATGCACAATGCCTCAACTCTATCAACCTTAAGGCCGTTATAACATGTAATAAATTGTGGTAGCCTCAAGGCATCCACAAGAATATAAATGTGTGATTTCATAAACCGAAATTCTGCTTAACACTCGTCATCGCTTAATTTATCTAAATCAAACTCTTCGTATTTCCAATAAGGCAAATCTGGACTTTTATCAGTATATAAGTGGAAAAGCAAAATAAAGTTTTCGTCGTCGATTGATTGATCCGAATAAGACATAAAAAGACGCTCTCGAGTTGCTCTCCACTTCGGCATTTTTTGTTCTTGAATTTTTTTGAAAGCAATGTTTTCTGATTTATATTCCTGCCAATTATTTTTCCGCTGAGGCGGCGTTGTAAATTTGCGTAAACTAAAAATACGCTTGCGCCGCCGTTGTGAAAAACAAGACGTTGCCATCGCAAAAAGCCGTGCAACGTAAACTCTCTAATCTCTATGGTCGTCGACACTGACCGCCTCGGTCAACTCGCGTCGTCTTAAACGTCGCGTTCTCAAATCTAAATCTATCTAGCGTTTAATGAAGCACACTTTCGAAAATCTCCCAATCATTACAAAAAGGTAACAGAAATTGTCAAGAAATATCTGAAATGCTACATCGACAATTAGCCACCAAAAACTAACACAAACTAGAGCATCCCACCCCTAGAGAACTATCGTGGAACCATCCCTGTATCCATGTATTTATAACTGCGCATGCATTCGCTAATAGTGCGTATTTCTATTGTGATAAACATCGATGTTTTTCTGCTTATCGCTGACTTTGCAGGGGAGACATTAACTTACGCTTGCTTGATCAGAACACAATCAACGATTTAAAAATAAGTCAACGGTCGAAGAACCAAGAGTTTCGTGCTGGTGCCACAAACTTACCGAGAGCAATTACTCCTCCGATCCAAAACTAAATAAATAAATAAAAATAGAAATGCTTACTTCTTCTCATACAATAATGTAAGAATTTTGAGGCATGATTGCATTACACAATATTGCTTCTATAGTCCGGTTTTTGTAAGATATAGTGCTCAATACGTTTTGAGATCGCTAATCAAAGAGAATTCGCGGGGTAATAAATCTTATAACATAACCGTATTTATTTCTTAAAATCTCTTTTATTTCATCAGAATCCGAATCTAAGCAATGAAATTTCAAAAGTTTAAAACGCTACTCGATGGTTGGAACAAGCAACGGTATGAAAACAGCAAATTTTGATAACGCCTAAAATATGTAAGTAAAATGATGGATTTACAAACAAGATCACATCTACTTGCACTTATCTGCTCTCGACTTCTCCCAAACGTCTCTTAGGTTTAGCTTATAAGCTTTCGCAAACACGAAAACATCTTTTATTTTATTTATAAAAAATCAAAATTTATTACGAAAAAAATAAGTTCTAAGCAAATACGTTAATTTTTTCTCTAACATGTTAGATGATTGATTTGAAAATTCCCTTTACTTGAGCTCAGATCGGTTTCCCACACTCGCACAAGCTAATGCAAACTCAGATAAAGACCAATCAGCGCACTAGTTACATTGTTGCAATTTTATAAATACAATTAAACATTACAAAAACAGCTCAAAGATTTTGAAATACTGTAGAAGGAACCAACGCTGATTCGAAACAATGCAAATAAAAGAAAACTATCTAATTGAATGACAAGTTTAACAGGACAATGACCTTTCCTATTCACAAGTCCCTACCTTATATTTGAATTTATACATTGAAAGCAAAAAAACATTATCGGGGGTCATGATCAATCCCAACAGCAATTTTCTAATCTTTTTACCAGCACTAGTCTATGTCATTACGTGTTTGTACCAACATGTGATTGTCAAAGTTAAATTACATTAACAAATATGTAATCAAATATATATGTATCAAACGATTGGCCATTTTACCTGTATTCTTAGTAGTTCACGCCATTGACAAGCGGATACTGCTAGCCAAACAACTCCATAAACCAAATACACCAATGACATCGCACCATAAAACTAAAACAAATCATGAATTTCAACGTGAAAATTTCAACTTGATATGGGCTTTTTTTGATATGTGCCGCTTATTGCTGTGCTAAGGTCTGTGCGTTTCACCTAAGGCTCCGGCCGAGAAAACTCAGGGTGCGACTAAGCAGCTCCGGCTGCGGGGATGGGGAAGTGACACCCCCCCCCCTTATCTCTGAAATTTGTGTAAAAAGTCGGTCCAGATGCTTTTACAGATTTAAAGAGTGCTTCTCAACCAAGATGCCTTGCGCGGTAATCACAGCGTGACGGCCATTTTGTTGGTCAAGAAAATGACGGATTTTGCTATTGTACTCCATCGTACTCCATGCAACTTAGACAAGCGATGATAATTAGGGTAAAATAGAGTTTCTAATCAATGCTTTTTGCTAACTTTTCACATAAATTAGACAACGTAGTAACAAAATTGAAATCAGTGTGCTGTAAGCTCAAAAAGTAAAGATGTAAACATAAACAAAAAAGCGCAATGCATTTTGGTTAACACACATTCTTTCAGTTGGTTCCTTTCCTGGTCGTGTGCCGCGGGTAACTAGTTGTGGGAAGGAAATAAGTTCAATAACAAAAAAGGCGACCAGTACAGTTTACAATAAAGTGTTCAAGATAGTAGCATTTTTAAACATTTTATACGCTAGGTGTCAAGGACGCATTGCTTCGTAAAAAGTGATCAGCAGCTGAATAGCCTGCTGTACATAGTGAAAAATATTCAAAAATTGCACGAAATCTATTTTCTCCAAAACAATCTACAGTATTTCGTTTGTTGTCTTACTATGCATCATCGAAACGTGGTCAAGGTCTTTTGTAGCGTTTACTTCTTGAACAACCTTGAACAAATTCAAGTCGGAATGTTGAATTATCTTTAGCAAGGTTTCGTTGTTTGTTTATGTAAATGCAGACTTCTTAAAGACACTCGATCTGAATTGCACATTATATTGTTACTCGGCTTCACTTGTGTATTAAAGTGTTAAAACCAATTTGCCATACTTGGAACTAGCGCGCTTGTCGCAGTAAGACAATAGCATTAAACAAAACGGTTTAATTTCATTCACTCGTAAACATTTATATTTGAAATTGAGAAATCATTCGACAACTGATATCTTGATTTTAAACATTTCTTTCTTTGATGCTATCAGAAAAGATTTTCAACATTTTAAAATCGAGGCACGCCCTTAGTAACTCCCTTCGCTTTCAGAAAACCTGCTTGCACCTATCAATTGATAGCTTTTTAATCAATTAAAGACATTGCAAAAGTCTGTCAAAGAACGCCCCCTAATTTTTTTGGAATGTGCGTCCAAGACAACGGAGTTATTGTTTTCAACTTAAGCATTCAGCTCCAGCGCACAGTTGCCACTGATTTCATAAAATTAATCGACATGTTACTATCCGCATAGTTAGACAAAATCTACAAAAAATTGTATTTCTAGGTATGATCATTTGTATACAATAATTTGCGTAAGACCTCATTGTCTATAAATATTCTCAACTAATCAGTGTAAATTGCAACGGGCACCTTGAAGGCGGAAGGCCTTACAATATTGCAACTATAACAATGTAGTCGTTTTCTAATGTCTTGACATCCTCAACAGTTTTAAAATTCGTCTTCACTTTGACGTAATAATAATAGTATACCAATGATACTTGTTTTACCAATTTCCTTTCTGCGGTAGCTAAATTTTCCTCACCAGAGTGAAATAATATTGGGCAAAATATGCCATTGGTTTTAAAACTACTTCAAAATTTTCACTTCGTCAGAAAAAAAACAAGATACACAATAAAAAATTTTCGGAAGCAAAACAAAGAGAATCATATTTTTTAGTTTTTGTCAATGATTTAGAGCCCAATCCCCTTCATGTGTAACATTCGTGTCAAGGTGAGGCAAGGACGTCAACTTGAAAATAGGTAAAAAGTAAAATAATCAACAAGAATAAGTCAAAAGAAAGTTTAAAAAACCAATCTTATTAAACATTGTAAAAAACAAACCCATGCTATAAACTCTACAACTTTATATGAACTTAGAAGAAGCATATTTTAGTCGTTAATATCATCAGTTTTGCCACCTTTCAAGATGGCAGCTTGCCTGATTCGCAACTGCCGAATTTATGGCGGAGTCAGGTATATAGTAGATTTTGTTCTTGGTCATTGCTTTTTGCACAGTGACTAGCCGCGCATGCTCAGCAGCTACGAAAACAAAAACCACACGCGTGTGAATGGAAATATGATAGGGTTGTCAATAGAAGCCGGTCACCGGCAATACATCGCCGTTTACTTTATCGCCAATCACCGGCTAAAATGTTTGTTGCTCTTATGCATGATAATGAAACACACTTCCGCAACTGCGTTAGTGAGGCTTTTCATTTCTAAAGCATTTGATGCAGGGCAATTGATTGACATGAAAAGTCACGCGGCAAAGAGTTAAAATCACTGAAATTACGTCCAAACTGTTACACATGGGGTGACATACAGAGTAAATAAACTACATAGCTGTAGACAATTGTTATTCATTGTCATCAATGGTAAGTTTTTTGCATATTTTTAGATGTTGATTTGTTTTAGGAAATGCTTTCCCGGACAATTTCAAATTAATTTGATCACTAAACTTTTAGATACTACTGTATTATAAAGACCAAGACCAAAGTTTGTCTTCACCACCACAAACAAGCTGACACCGTTACTGTACTTCTACTAGTCGACCATTTTTATAAAAATACCGTCACAAGGGTAATTTAGTGGATTGCCAAATTTTTTTAAGTTTTTGTGAGGACCCCTTATAGCATAGTGCAATATTTAGCCCTAACCGTCTACTTTCTTCATACAACCACCTACTCTAAAACTTATTGACAGCCCTGCATATGATTATAAGCAAATGAGATTTTTTCAACCGAATGTAAATTTATGACTAACCGGGAGTAGAGGCCATTCTGCTGCTGATAGGTATCCAGTTTTCATCTTTATACTAACTTTGACTAAAGAGGAGAAAAACAGCATTTGAAAAGTCATGAATATACGTATAAGGAATAAACTTGTCTTAGAGGAATTTTCTCAAAAGATAGTTTAAGATGTCCGAGTTAGTAGCGAATTTTTTCTCAGTTACTTTCTATTTTGTTTGGTGGTTATTGAAGGCACGTAAGGGGTTGGTCAACCCAGAGACCCCTATTTGTAAGATTTGGGACATGTATTGTTCTCTGGTTTGCAAACGTTGATTGGGCAATATCGGTACATGATAAATTTCCATCGCCATTTTCGTTCCTAATTTTGAAATTTGAACAAGTGTTTGTATGGTAATTACTACAAGTTTGTTTGCATTTTGAGAAAATAGTTAGATTATCTTCAGATATAGCTTCAATAATTGTTTATTTGATAGCTAAAACGTGTAACTATGAATCGCCAGAATCATGGAATACGGAAAGAAAGAAATGGCTTTACGATGGATTGAATTGCGTCTACTGGTGACTATTGTGTCAAACTGATTCAATGACAGGCACAGTTTAAGTCAAAATAAATTATAGCAGCTCAATTTTAAATTTAAAATACTTTTAGAATAGATTATTGGTGATGAACTTCTAACGAATATATTTTTACCAGTTAAGTTGTCTCCACGGTTCTTCAAGATGTAAATAAACCAAAAATCAGGTGCAATGATTTATTTTGACTTACTTCATACCTGCCAGAGCGTTGATTCATACCTGGACGTATGTGTAGTAATATGTTTTCCTGGCAAAGAATATGCAACCATCACGTAGAGTATTTATCGCCGTTAAATTATAAGCAATGAAAACAAATATCTTGGTGCTGTTGTTGAAAACTGCCAGAATATACGTTCACATACGTAAAAACGTCAAGCAGAGGGTCACGATTAGATTCAAAGCACGAAATATTAAACTGCGAATGAAGCTCAAATCCATAAAATTGAGTTTGGTTTGCAGTAATTATTCACAAAACGTCAAAAGCTTCATTGTGGATTCTGATTTATTTAATATTTCCATTAAACATGGCGAAATTGCTTCGTTATTAGTTTGACTTACAAGTAGGAACGAAAATGGTGGTTCCGCGCTCGCCCGCAGACGCGCTATCCCAACTCCTACAAATAGAAGGCTCTGGGTCAACCCTAGTCGCGTCTGTGGTGGATGACATCACTCTCAATGAAATTTTGGATGTGACTCGTCGAATACGTTGTGTTACGGGATTTAAGATTGTCGAACTTAATTAACATACTACTTGCACGTACTCACAACACCCGTGTTGACATGTTCTTTTGCATTTACCCTCTAAGAGGAGAATTTCTTCAGTTGGTGGCCATTTTGCAGTAGTGCAGCCAGCCCGCAGCTTTTAGTCGTGTCATGTAAATTCCATATCATTACAATAATTTATTTTTTTAAACGTCTATTGCTTTTACAGTGAGTAAACACCGAAGTATTTACATAGCATTAACAAGCTCGTGGACTTGTAACGCCACCATGGCTTTTCCTAACTGTACACCTGTCAACAAGGCTGCATAAAATATTCCAATTTCTGGGACAACCAGGGCAATAAATATAATTTCTGCAGGAAAACGCCTCATAGGAATTTTCGCAAATTTCAATGCAAAATGAAATTATTTGTGTCAAGAACAGTGACATAGCTAGAGGGGAGAGCAGAAAGCCAGGCCCCCACTCGTCAAATTATGGGCACCACTAAAATATATTTTACTTACATTACAATGTTTAAATGAAAGTCATGAATAACCTTCCTTTTTAACTGCATACCCCACCCCTCTTACAGAGAAAATCCTGGCTATCCCAATGATCAATTACAGCTATTAAATCAATAGATGAAGGAATGACTTGAAGGAACTGCAAAGATGACTTTGTTTTACTAAGTTCTGACTTTCTGAGTGCGGAGACTGCTGTATGACAATGTGCATGTATAAAACAAAATATTCTATTTTCTATTCAGTTTCTTTTCCTTGTTAATGCTGTAACTTTTTAAGTACTTTTAAAAAAAATTTTTCTCCTGCATGAAAAATTTTCTTGGACCAATGGTCTCATGGTCCGCTATATTATGCAGCCCTGCCAATCAAATAACGCCAGTTTACAATCCACAGGCCGATAAATTTGTAACTTTAAGTGAATAACTTTTATTATACCTTGCACATTGATGCCATTTTCTGGAAAAACCCCATCCAACTGGATTAATAACAGATAATTTCCGTCCAATGCATCGACTGTACTTTCACCAGCCTAAAATTAACAAAAGAAGAAATCAATAAATTACATTAATTCTTTGCAAGTCACTGCGGCAGGCGGAATCCTTGACTTCTCTACAATCTCATTGACTGTAGAATTTTACGATATCGTAAAGCGGTCCGAAATTATTTTGCAAAATACTTGAGGGAAGGTTTGTTTTGTTTTGCTTTGTTCTGTTTTGATTTTTTTTATTTGATTTAAAAATGAAATTATTAGCCAATTTTGTATTGCTAATAATTAATGAAATCTATTTAACGTGTTTCAAAGTAAAATGAACAGCAAAGTCTTGATTGTTTTCTTTCCCGAAATTGTGGAGTCTGACTACACAGTCCTACAGCAAAAAAATAAATACGTTATTTACCGTTTAGGCCGGTCATGATAGAAAAATATTTTCCCCTGGTCTTAAAAAGGCCTCGCTCGGCCTCGGCCTCTAACCATACCTCTCTGCCGGTAAAGAGGATATACTTATTTTTTTATGTCGACATGCTGCAATTGTTATTTTTTTGATTTCCTGTAATTTGATCGACTGCAGCAGCGAGCAGATTTTTACGATAAAAAGAGTTAGCAATTTCTTTTCCAATAAATTTCTTAACAAAGTGAAATTAAAATTTCAAAATTGATTTTAAGAGCCATGAAAAATGTACAAGGAGAAAACAAAATGTATTCAAACGGTAGTTATCATAACGAGAGTGAATTTTAGTATTCATATGAAGTGATCTTTGCAGAAAACAATCCAATTTCAATCTCAAAAGGCAACATCGACCATTTTTCAATGCAAATTGCTTAAGATCACAGTTGAGCGATTTGAGAAACGCTTGCTGAAAAAGATGGAGAAAGGTAAAATTGAAACGAAAATAAAGAATAAGGCCTGAAAGACAGAGAGCATAAGACAAAGGAAATGGTCATAAACGGAGAAGACAGGGAAGTCTTGTTCGGAGGAAGTCAATCTGAGAAGAGTTTTGTGGTTTCCAGGAATCTGAGAGTGATATTTATATAACTCAGAGAATAAGGTGTGGGTAACAACTACATAAAATGAATAATCTTGAGAATGTTGATGATTGTGTTAATGAAGAATGTATTGGAAAGGTACATATGAGGAATACTTATTAAATAAGCTACCTTTTTCGGATCAACTTTTTTCTTGCCTTTCGCCGTTTCCTTTGTTTTTTCAACACGATTTCTAGCCTGTCAAACGTAAATAGACTTTAACAAAGGATCACTTATTTCATTTTCAAAAATGTGAATCTTTATATATAACCTAGTTACCTTTAGCATGACTATTGGCTGCAGCTCACAATATTATGAAACACGAAATACTTTGCTTACCATGTACGACAGACATGATGACGCGTAAAGCTGCATTATAACGTAAACATGACATATTGGGGGCAAGCGAGAAATCCAATGATAATTTGAAATTTTGAGCAAGGAGGCTCAAAGGATAATATATTCAAATAAAGGGGAAACCACAATCTCCCGTTTCCCAGTGTCCGCCACTGGCTGAGTATTGTTACTGGGTGACGGTTGGAATTTGGTAATTTTAAACTACGTATAGCGTAGTGAATGTTTTATTCAAAGTTATGGTTTGAGTTTAAATAAATCTCTCATGATCCAAGGTAAAATTCTTAAGAGAAAGGAAAAATAGGTGGTATGAAAATATTATGCTAAGGACGGTAGCAAGAAAATCAGAAGGTACATTAAACAGTTGAAAGCATAGCGAGATTAAAGGATCTTGAGTGTACGGGAGGTAGCGAGTTTGATGTCACAGTTGAACAAAACGTAAACGCTTGGTGAAAAAAATGGATATAGATGAGAGTCAAAAGAAAATGAAGGATGAAGATAAAAGATAATAGGCAATAGCAGAGAAGATAGGAAAGTCTTGTGGGGAGATAGTGAAATTGAGAAGAATTTTGAGTTTTCGTGAATCTGGGAGTGAAAGGGACATTTATCATACAGACAGAACCAGGAATGTGGAGCAACTACATAGTAAGACTAACTTTAAGAGTATTGATGATTGTGTTAATGAAAGATGTAATACAAACGTTCTTAGTGACAGTAGCGGATTTAAACTAAGATTTGAAATCAAGTCAAACTTTCCGAGGAATTTTTCTTACATTAGATTTCTTTTTCGGATCAACTCTTTTCTTTTCTTTCTTGTTATTCGCACTTTTTCTTGCTTTCTCATCAACTTTTCTAGTCTGCCAAAAATAATTACATTTCGATAAAAGATCACGTATCTCATTTGAAAAGACACGATTCTTTATGATATCGCTTAGTATCTTCAGCATAACTAATGGCTGATCTGATTCACTCTTAGGAGCTGACAATACTATAGCACATAATTTTCATTATTTACTAAGTGTTCTTCAAAAGGAACCATAAAAAGACACATTAAAAAATCAAAAGCATTGTGAGATGAAAGGGTTTGAGTGTTTGGGATGCTGTATTGAGTGTATTGAAATGTCACAGTTAAAATCGTTGACAAAGCTTTATTGACGAAGATGGAGAAAGACGAGATTAAAAAGAAAATTAAGGATGAACCTGAAAAACAGAGGGCATTACAAAGTCTAACGGTGATGAGCAGAGAAGACTGACAATTGAGAAAGAGTTTGGTGAAAGAGATGTTTAGAAAGCGTTTTTTGATTTTTCAGGAATCTAAGGGTGAAAGAGATATTCGTAATAATGAGAGAACAAGGTAATGGAGCAAATACTTAGTAAAAATTATTTTCACAGTGGATAGAATTGCTGGAGCAAATACTTCCTAATAAGATCAAGATAGGCCACTCTCTGACGCTACTGATGACACACCAAGTAAATTAAAAGTAAATACATTTGCAAGCACTAACCTGTCGTGTTTCTCGCTTTTGCCTAGTATTTTTTTCATCTTTTTTGCCATCCTGAATTTCAACACAAAAAATACAATCAAAAAATGGTAGTATTTAAGAAATAAAAGATGCTTACGTTTGCACAGGCTTATGAAAGCCGACGAGACCTTTTGGAAAAACTCGAGAGCTTAACAGTGCATGCCCGAGAACGAAGGTCAAGAGTTACGCCTGCTGGAGAAACATCATTTATTTCTTTTATAAAAAGCAATGATGCAAATGTTTTAAATTTTCTTGAAATTGTATTTATAATTGATTCGCAAATTCATTTTGATTGACTGAATTATTTGATTCGTGGAGCTCAAATTGATTTGCACATGCTAATGATAACACAGCTATAGACCAATTAGTGGACGCGTTTTATTGTGTTTGTATTATAAAAAGAAATGAAACGCAATATCTCAAATTTATAAAAACAGAAATTGCTCTATAGAATGGTCTGACTCCGGGTTTGATATCGTATTGGTTTTATTTAGAAATGTAGATCATCCAGATTGTAATATTTCCAAAAAAAAAGATGTAATTATATCATGTTACACAGATGAGAAATTCAAAGGAAGCAATATCACAATATGGAAATTAAAACAAAGCAAAACTTTGCAAAGTATTTTTCTTACATCAGCTTTCTTTTTTGAATCAAGTTCTTCCTTGACTTTCACGTCATTCACACTTTCTTGCGTTTTTTCATCAAGTTCTCTAGCCTGTCAAGGATAATTGGATTTCGATAAAAGACGCTCATTTCATTGCAAATTTTTACGCTTACTACCATCGGCATAACTAATGACTGATCTGATTTACTCTAAACAACCAACAATATTAAAGAGACACAATCTTCCTTGTTTTAACGATATAAAGTGTTATGATGAAAAAGTGTTATGATGTTTGAACGATATAAGTAAAAACATGATGAAAAAGGATTAGTATTGATATAAGGTGGCAGATGGAATTGTAGAGCTACATGTACACAGTACAGTGTAGTTAATGATTGTAGTAAGATAACATAGTTTAAGTTTTTATATCTTTCATGATCCAAGGTAACATTCTTGATAGATGGCTATTTACAAAGTGCGTAGCATGAAACAGTGCATAATGGAGCACTGGCTCGTACAGCTTGCATGCAAACTTTTACTATCGTACAGCTTGCATGCAAACTTTTCAAAGCTTCTTACTATCGTACAGCTTGCATGCAAACTTTTCAAAGGAGTCTTTCGAATTTTCAGGAAGTTCCGACTATTTCTGATTTCTTGCAATGCAATGATGAGTTTCTGTTTGCCTTTCGCAATCTTGCATTTATTCATCTTTCCTTTTGCTGAGATATACTGAAGCATCTAAGCCCTTCTCCGACATCTGAAATCACTGAGATGACTGTTGACTACATTACTGATTTCCCCACATCAAACGTAAAAGATTTTGTTTTTCGGATGTGACCGTGTAAAGATTTCAGTTTGATGCTCTCCTTTGAAAATTTCTCCTCGTTGTTGAATGCATCAACAGCAATGCAATAAAATGCCTGAACTCGCATGAAACAGAACATTTTCCTCAATAAGAACGTCAAACGGGTTGATCTACTCTTCCGGTTGATTTGGTACTCTGCCATTGCAAAAACCACCTTTCCATCTCCAAATCAACGTGGTTGGACTGGTGATATGAAACTAGTTGGTAAAACAGAGTTTTTCATAAAAACTTCAAAACGCTGCTTTTGCCTAATGGCATTTGGGAGAAAGAATATGAAGTTAGACTAAATGAAGGAAGTGGACGGAGTGATGGCTTTTTGTATTTGTTTTCTGGAAGTTTTTAAAAGGGTCTATTTCGGTAGAACGCTAACAAAGACTTTCACATGCTCCCGAAAGTACGGTAATGGTAAAAATTATCAACAAGATATGGCCACTTTGATCCAAACCTACGAGAACTTAGCTTTCGAAATTTAATTAAATCCGGGAAACAGTATTCGATATTACTTTGGTATTAAATTATATCCAGTCTTATGTCTGAATATGATAAAATATAATCATTTATAGTTGGCAACTTTGCCCTAAAATACTGTATTCAAACTGTAAGAGATTTCAGGAACGTCAATATTTCACAGACCAAAGAAAAGTGACTTATACATCTTTAGCTCCTGAACGACACTGAAAAGAATTTTCAAAAATGCTTCACAGATGAGTTAATTTTGTTTGCAAGTGAGAATCAAATGTACAGAGATAAAACAAATAAGATGGCTGTTGTTGGGTCGGGAACCCACATAATGAAGATCGCATAAAACTAAAGTCGCGTCTCTATGGCAACAGAAACGAAAAGCTTTACCCTGCTTTTCAACTTTTGGTGAAGTCTTTCCATCTGCAAAATGTGTACGACTTAGCAATATATATAACTAGAAGTTACTATCGCAAGGGGAAGTGCTGCTCCTCTCCACCCACCCCCCCACCCGTCAGTAAAAATTGCCATGTATAATCGGACACCCTTAGATCCACAACTTCGTGTACAGAATAATTAGGCCGTTGGCTCTGGCACGAAAATATTTCGTTTCGTCGCCCCCATCGCGGTGCTAAAATATTTCAACGGAAAGTAGTAGAGTCGAATGCGCTGATTTCAAATATCTTTGTTCCCACACGCCAAAACGCGCTGTTTTTTCACAATGTATAACCAAAGTTGGATATTTTGATCGACTAAGCGCCATCTTAAATTCCGCGGTGTGTATGATCTTTTGACATTATTACTTGAAGTACGCGCAATGCTGAAGTATTTATAAGGATAATTATTAAATTAAATCGTTATTAACTCTGACTGTTTTCTGAGAACAATTCTGCAAGTCCCAAAGAGCAAATCAAGAGAATGGATGAATGTTTCATTCATTTTAATGGTAAGTCAGGCGAATTGTGTCAATTAACGGCACATACAATCGATAAAATAAGTGAATATTCTGAAAAGTGGATTCATTTGGATGGGGAACCTAATAAAATTGCGTCAAACGTTTCCAAACGAGTCAAACGTTGGTCGCTCGGTCCAGACAGAGAGACAGTGCGAGAAGAAATTGCAAATGTGCGTTTTCATAAGGAATGCTATATTCGTTTCTGTGATAAAACAAAAGTCGCAAGAGCCGAAAGAAGAATAAAGAAAAACAAATACTATTGATGCATTCACACAAGGTGAAACGAGCACTCCTGTCACCCACCGGACCTTGTGTGCACCTGTACGGATATCACCACGAACATTGCTTAGTGGTGATGAAAACATAGTCAGGCGAAATAAACATGTTCTTCCAGAGCAATGCATAATTTGCAAAAGACAAGAGTCATACAAGGTGGACAAGGTACAGTTTAACATAATCCTTGGATTATTTCTTGACATTTTGGTAACAATAACGTTGCATGTTTTGCAGGCCACTAGAAAACGAAAACTGCATAAGTTAGTTCTAGCACAAACGTTTGATGGGGGTAAATTAAGAGAGGCTGCCGAAAAGAAAAAAGACGAATCAATTTTAGCTCACATTAGGGGTAAAGATTGCGTATCCATAGAAGTACGCTACCACAAGCATTGTCAATTGGATTACTGCAGATTTTTGTCAAGAAATGTGACAGGTAAACAAAACAACGAGGTTCCAGAGGGTAATACAATTGTCCTTGATGGAATGGCGCTCATTCAGGCTGCAAAGAAGTTGCCTTCGTCGTTTGGAGAATTTGCAGAGCAATTGTTCTTGAGGGTCATCAAGTTGGCAACGTATCACAGATCAACACGTGCTGATTTTGTGGTAGACAGATATCCTGATGCGAGCATTAAGAATCTAGAACGCAACAAACGGGCAAGTGGTGGATTAGAGGTTATGAATATATATGGTGCTGATCAGAGACTACCAGCAGAATGGATCAAGTTTCTCAAACATGGTGGAAACAAAGAAGCACTTATTCGCTTTTTATTTGAGCAGTGGTGTACATACAAATCGACGATGTTTAATGGTATTGTGGTTTACGTTTGCCATGACGACAAGTGCCATCGCCTTAAACCAGGAATTGATAGTGGACCCATTATCGTTCAAGAAATAGCGACATTATCTTGTGACCATGAAGAGGCTGACACCAGAATGCTACTTCATGCAAATCACGCGTCTCAGTCATGTGACAGTGTCCTAATAAAGAGCCCAGATACAGACGTCTTCGTTCTTATGCTATTCTTTTGCCACATCATCCAATGCGATTTGTTTCTAGAAACTGGCGTGAATGAGAAGACACGTATCATCAACATTGGTTTTGTGCAGCAAAAGATTGGCGAAAAAGAGCAAAGCGTTAATTGATTCCATGCATATACAGGTAAGTTTTACTTGATAACCATCTTTTACATAATTGGGATTCAGTTTAATTAAAACGTTTCACCGAAAGTGGGTATGAAGTAAAATGCACATAGTTTTCGTAAACACAACAACTTTTGCAAGTTTAAATATCAATTATTCTTTTTGCCTTTAAGGATGTGATTCTACTAGCTCATTTTATGGTCGGTAAGATATCTTCCTTAAAAACGGTTTTCAATAACGAAAGATGTCTGACCACATTTGTGCAACTTGGTAATGAATTTGAAGTCGATGAAGCTGTTCAAGAAAACCTGGAGTCACTGACATGCATGTTATATGGGGTCAAGGATTCCACTTCTGTCAACAAGGTAAGATATGACATGTTCAGGATGGGTAAATTCTCAGACGCAGCTTTGCCTCCAAACAAGGATTGTCTCTTACAACATATTAAGTGCAAACTACCAGACCTAATATGGAAAAGGGCAACAACCCAAGAGATTGGTGCACCTTCACCAGTTTACCATGGATGGAAGATTGATGAAGAAGATAATATTGATGTGGTATGGATGACGGGCAAATGTGCTCCAGATGAACTTCTTAAAGATTGCAACTGTAAATGTAGAACTGGTTGTTCAAACTTAAGGTGCTCCTGTATGAAAGCTAACTACAAGTGCACTGAAATGTGCCAATGTGTTGATTGCACAAATTGTCCAAACGAATCCAGGGAAGAGGACTCAGATTATAATCTGGATACTGATCTGGAGGAAAACTAAATCTAAGTAATGTAAAAAAACTGATTTATTTAAGAGAAATTGTCGCAACAACCTCATACTTATTTTGTGCAATTCCTATTTTAACTAGCTCTTGAGCTTTAGATCATCTTTAGATACCAAATAGTATTACATTAAAACATAAACAACATTTGATACGTTATGCTACTGTTGAAATTTGATTCTGTTTCTCGTCAAGTTTACTCACTTTTCGCGATATTTTCCAATTGTCTCAAGCGCTCACGATCACAATCAACCAGTTTTACATTTGAAATGAATAAAATCGTATCGTTGGTAGAGGTTCTTAGATAGGTTCGTGGCATATACTTATACATTTAAGTTGTTTACATGTCCACGGTTTTCGAGTACACCCCCTTACTTCAAGTAAGATTGCCAAAAGATCAAACATACCGCGGAATTCAAAATGGCGCTATGCCGATGAAAATAACAAACTTTGGCCATGCATTATGAAAAAACCGCGCGTTTTGGCGTGTGGGAACAAAGATATTTGAAATCAGCGCATTGAACTCTACTGATAACCGATGACATATTTTAGCACCGCGATGGGGGCTACGGAATTTGATTTCTAGCCACATTTTCGTGCCAGAGCCAACGGCCTAAATAAAGTGATTCCGTGTTTTAGCTACAAATTAACTAGGATAAAATATGTTTGTAAATGCAGATCGTCCAGGTTGGTATAGTCCTGGGAAGGACTGTTTTTGTTGTTGTTGACTGACGTTTCGAGAACCTTAGCGGTAGTCAACTTCATGCGTTATGATTGCGTGATAAAAGGCTTAGCGCTTTTCCATGGAACGAAGTCACGAGTCATACGCTCGGAAAGCCGACGGCCAACTTCCGGCTTAAATTTAAACGTCATTTTAACTTAATTAATTTTACAAATTTTATATATGAATTCAATGTAATTTTGAATGAAAACAATTTTTTGAGACAACAACCGTATCTTCAACCATTTGTCTATATATTTGTCTTTTTTGAAGGGTATGATACTTTGCTCACTCAACCGATAAATGTAACGCATGTTTACAAATTTACATACGTAGAATAAACGAAATTAACAAAAGAAAAGTATAATAAAACTGTATTTTGTGGCGAATATTTTCTAAATAACATTGTGATAGGACCATGTTGCCTGTTATTCCGTGCCAAATGCGATTAAATGATATTTCATCTTTGCACGCGGAGTCATCGCATACAGCAAATATTCATCGTACTCTTTGTACATGCCATGGTAAGACTCGCGCATACCAATATCATATTTTCCTCACCCGAGTACTGTGATAAGAGCGGATAAACAATGCGAATAAGTATCGAACTGGCTAAATACGGTGAATGAAGAGTCGTGTTATTCACCAAACGATGTTGGTGATTACTCAGGCGATTTTAATATTTAACGTATTGAAATTAGGCGGGGCGTGGCAGCAAGAACGCAGTATGACAAATACGTCTCGGTACGCATAGCAGGTACTTATATATAATTCGCAGTATTTTTCATTTGATTTCATTTTTCATTTCAATCTTTTTCATTTAATACATATACATATTTCGCAATATTTTTCGTTTTTCATTACGAGTCTGCAAATCTGATCAAGACATTCATATCAATATGTACTTAAAGGGGTAGTCAGACTTTAACACAACTTTCGCTCATATGAAAGTGTATATTGTTCTTACCTCTCTCACGAAATCCTAGGTTTCCAATTCAAATTTAACTCGAGAAATAATGCCTTAAATGTGTGTATTTTGCCTCTTGTTCGATCGCCATTGTGTACATGCAAGCGCGCAGTCCAGCAGCGGTTTTTCGTCGTGACGTCACTGCGCGGTGATCGTTGTCAACATTAGACAAAATATACTAGCAAAGTAGAAATTACGCATAAGCATATTCATCGTTGCATTTTATTTTCTAAGTTTTAAATTATTTTGCGCAATGGATACGGATTACTCAAACGATTCCTCTAGTAATTATTCTGGAAGCAGTGTTTCAAACTACGAAGAAATGATTAACGATCAAAACATGATTCAACCATATGCTTATGAGCCGATTGAAACAGACTCTAGCGACGAGCCTATGGACGACTCCGACGAAGTTCAGCTGTTGTAACAATGAATGAAGACTCAGCACAATTTGAGGGAATAGATACTCCGGACTGTATTACAGATAATCCTGTTTTTCGAAATCTTTGTTTAAATTATTGGGTATTACGACTGGCATGGAGTGAGTACAAACAGCACTATGGTTCAAGAGCTGAAGAAGGACCTGAACACAAAAGACAAAGACATGTGGCTTACAGGCAACTGGTTCGATGGTGTTGGAATGTATTGGGCAAGGAAATTAGAGTACTACTACCATCTTTTGCTGTTAGCTACATTCGAGCACATTTCCAACCACCAGATCTAGAAGAGGACTTTGTCTTTGAGGGTTTTAAATTCGCTGATGAATAATAATGGTAATGTAAACTATTATAGCCATATTTATAAGTATCGTTAATGATGAATTACTAATAAATAAAAATATAAATTGGATTTAGTAAATGAACAATAAATACAAATTATAATGGTCAAGCCAAACCAATTCTTTATTTGTGCTATGCAAGGATTTTGGTGTACATAATTAAAAAGTGACTTTGCTAATGAATTTGCATAGCAAAACAAAAAATTGTGCTACTTTACTATTAGAGATTCTCTTATTATTGATTATAAATATTGATATATACATAATTATTTTTGGGGGACTGTTTACCCATTCTTGATTTGTGTGCTTGTAAAACACTTTCTTTGTTTGGCTTTTCTATAGATGCAATATTTCTTGGAATGTTTGCTGGTAAAGAAATCTTGTTATGTACATTTTTTACATTAAAACAGCAGACATCTTCCATCATACCTTGCACAAAAGAATATGACTTACTCGCCATAATTGGCTTGGCTACCCAATTTTCTCGTCCTTTTGGGAACACGATATTATATCACTTTTCCCCTTGCTGCTTTCCACATTGAACTTGTGCTTGTTTTCAAAAGGGCGAAAAAATTGGGTAGCCAAACCAATTATGGTGAGTAAGTCATATTCTTTTGTGCAAGGTATGATGGAAGATGTCTGCTGTTTTAATGTAAAAAATGTACATAACAAGATTTCTTTACCAGCAAACATTCCAAGAAATATTGCATCTATAGAAAAGCCAAACAAAGAAAGTGTTTTACAAGCACACAAATCAAGAATGGGTAAACAGTCCCCCAAAAATAATTATGTATATATCAATATTTATAATCAATAATAAGAGAATCTCTAATAGTAAAGTAGCACAATTTTTTGTTTTGCTATGCAAATTCATTAGCAAAGTCACTTTTTAATTATGTACACCAAAATCCTTGCATAGCACAAATAAAGAATTGGTTTGGCTTGACCATTATAATTTGTATTTATTGTTCATTTACTAAATCCAATTTATATTTTTATTTATTAGTAATTCATCATTAACGATACTTATAAATATGGCTATAATAGTTTACATTACCATTATTATTCATCAGCGAATTTAAAACCCTCAAAGACAAAGTCCTCTTCTAGACCTGGTGGTTGGAAATGTGCTCGAATGTAGCTAACAGCAAAAGATGGTAGTAGTACTCTAATTTCCTTGCCCAATACATTCCAACACCATCGAACCAGTTGCCTGTAAGCCACATGTCTTTGTCTTTTGTGTTCAGGTCCTTCTTCAGCTCTTGAACCATAGTGCTGTTTGTACTCACTCCATGCCAGTCGTAATACCCAATAATTTAAACAAAGATTTCGAAAAACAGGATTATCTGTAATACAGTCCGGAGTATCTATTCCCTCAAATTGTGCTGAGTCTTCATTCATTGTTACAACAGCTGAACTTCGTCGGAGTCGTCCATAGGCTCGTCGCTAGAGTCTGTTTCAATCGGCTCATAAGCATATGGTTGAATCATGTTTTGATCGTTAATCATTTCTTCGTAGTTTGAAACACTGCTTCCAGAATAATTACTAGAGGAATCGTTTAAGTAATCCGTATCCATTGCGCAAAATAATTTAAAAACTTAGAAAATAAAATGCAACGATGAATATGCTTATGCGTAATTTCTACTTTTGCTAGTATATTTTGTCTAATGTTGACAACGATCACCGCGCAGTGACGTCACGACGAAAAACCGCTGCTGGACTGCGGCTTCGCTTGCATGTACACAATGGCGATCGAACAAGAGGCAAAAATACACACATTTAAGGCATTATTTCTCGAGTTAAATTTGAATTGGAAACCTAGGATTTCGTGAGAGAGGTAAGAACAATATACACTTTCATATGAGCGAAAGTTGTGTTAAGGCCTGACTACCCCTTTAATAAACCTGGCTACTTCATCCTCTTCGGTAACTTCTCTGGGGTTGTTTCAAAGTTAGTCGAAGTGGAGTAAAAGTTTGTCCAAGATCTTTTCTTCAGAAATCTTAGTTTACCCCACAAATTTTACTCAATCCGCTTTAAGTTTTTAAGCTAAACTTAACTCAAAACGCTCGAGTTTTGTTAAATTAAAAACGGCGAATAAAAATTCACTTAATATGTACGCAAAGACGCACGCGCGGTTTATATGACAAATCACACATAGAGGGAGAAGGGAAATTCAATAAAATATACGTACGTAGCTGAACACTTACCAAATTAATTTCGCCGTCAAGGTGTTTTCCATGAAATTTGATCACACCTTCCTTGTACCTAATGAGCCGATCTCTGGCACCCGAAGTGTACATGGTGAGAGAAACTCGTGTCTTTTCCTACAATCAAAAAGTTCGAATTCAGCACATGCATCGTCGATTCGCATTAAACATTGGCATCCACATAAAACTAAAATTCAAAAGCCAACATGTCAAAATCAAACTCCGAAATATCGACTACAAGAATGGGGCAAATTGTGCCTCTAGACGTGAAGGTTGTTGACTTTACTTTGCACGTTGATAACATTTTAATCCTAATATGTCTGTTCTACACTTATCGACACAGCTGCAAATGACTAGCCGAGTAGTCAAGACGGAGTTAAAGAGCTTCCAATCTCTAGATTTTGTGCTGGAAAGAATAAAGCGGAAACTTATGAAAAGTCTAGGAATTAATGTCATACGCAAAGTTCCCTGATGTAACATTGATGCAACGCTAGTCGATAACAATTCAGTAGCGGATCCAGTGTACGTAGGTCAGAATACATTACTATATAAATATTTCCAATTCAAAATACTTTACAGCAAGTTTTAATAGTAATAGTTTAGTTCTTAAATATTTATAGAAATTTCAAACCAACAACGTTGTTTAATTTAAAATTAGCAGCTTTAACGTATTCTAACCTACCTAGATGTATCAATCTATGTATAGTTCATCTTGATGATATCAATGGCAAAAAGATCACTTTTATGAAGAACTAAAAACTCACATCCATTTGAGGAAACGTTTGGGCACAGTTTGATTCCAAAAGAATGTAACGCAACGACAAATCTTCCAAGGGTTTTTTAGTGTTTTCCAGTTCAACCTCTCCTGCAATAAAAGGACAGCAAAAGTTTACTTAAAACTATGGTTATACAAATGATGATCTAATTCAAGTACTGACATTATATGTAGCTATCAAAGTGAATTGCTAAATTAAACCAAATAAATTTTACATCTTTATTTAAAGTACCATATTTCCTATTAATTAGCACCCGGCCTCTCTTTAGCTCTCAAGTGATTCAAAAAAGTCAACACTAACCTCTATACATCCCCCAACTCTCAGTCAATTACGTAAAAAGTCAATCTTGTGGATTATACAAAAATGCACTTAAAATTATGTTGTTTTTCAACAAGCAAATATACACGTACTGGATTTGGTATTTAATACAGTTGGATATTGAAGCATGTGTTGCATAAATTAGTATATGCTCGCACTTTGCATGAAAATTCCTTTTGCCGCCAAGCCTCTTCTAAGCCCCCATTCTAATATCTCCCCTTGAATGGTAGAAAAAATAACAGACCCTCCCCCCAGGTGGTTAAATAGAGTAAATTATCGTAAGTTCACGGATCACCATGAAAAATAGCTAGGTATCCAACAAAGTGCTCTGTTTCAATAAGCATTGTTACCAGAGGCGTAACTAGAACGTTAATTGGGAGGTGCATATTCATATATTCCGTTGTGCCCTACTGATTTCTTTTGAAAGTGAATTGAATTTCAAAAGAAATCAGTAGGGCACAACTGAATATATAAATATGCACCCCAATTAAAGTTCTAGTTACGCCTCTGATTGTTGCATTTGACAAGTCTATTTAAGCATTATGTATGAACAGATGACATAAAATTAAAGTTTTTTTGCAAAAAAAAACTTACGCATGATTGATTATGGCTTTAAAAAGGTGACATTTATTAATCGTCATTTAATAATTGGCAGACACAATTTAATACTCTGACAATTAAATCTGAATGTTTACACACATATTGGCAAAATTTCTTGCATTTCTTACAACTAATATTGTACAACTTTGCAATATTTATGTTGAGGTATTTTAGGTGGCCTTACTCTCAAATTAATATAAATCATTCCTTGATAAACTATGTAAGTAAAAACTACTTTATGTAGCTAACACAAGTCATAAGTTTTAGAAGTATAAATACAATCCTTCAGCCAATTTCTACGTAGAAGACACTAATGACTAATTAGTGCCTACTAAGCCATTATTCTACAGATTTATTCATAGCTTATTCTACCATAGTATAAATAGAACCTTCTGCAACTTTCTACATAGTAGGAACCTGGGGCGGATCCAGGATTTTTCGATACATCAAAAAAATATGACGTCATACAAAATCAAACATGACATCATACGTTAAAAAGTGTTCAATAAAACTTGTAGGTATATCAAAGTAGCTATTGCTGTTTTTGCGGTTAACAGATAATGACACAAATGGCCTGTTTTGGTCTATATTTAAGGCCCAGCAGCATATTTTGGCAGCAATTTATCAAATAAATTAAAAACAGATGAAAACATTATCCCATATACACAGTCCATAAAAAGAATTTACAACCTGGTTATGTACGTAATCATTATTATAATTAATTTTATTTTATAAAAAGTAAAACAAAATTTAACAAAGAAGAACAAGCAACTAATATTTTTACTTGAGTTAAAAGATGACTTAAAACTGCATTAAAAAATATTACCATCATGCATATGGAGTGTTATTTTTAAATACCAGGCAAAATAAACTACTTTTTACCATACAAATAAGTTATGATCAAATCAAATTTGAATTGAAACACTTTTAAATTTGAAAAAAAGAATACAGAACGAGATGCCAGATATTCTCATTACTCTTTGATACATCATTTATACATTTACACATGATACATACATTAATAACCATACTCGGCAGCAATACTGCAACAGCATATGATTATTTGAGATAAACAGAGATTGCTAATGGTTTAGCCAAAGCAATAAAGAGGTAAATCAATAGCTGAAATAAAGCATGCTTGTTTAAAATAAATTGGAAATCAATTAAAAGAATTGAGCTGTTGCCAACAAAGATACTAAGCCGTAAAAACAATATTGAAGCTTCTTATCTACCACAACAAAAATAAGCATTATTTTACCCTATATAACTCATAATATACACAAACCCACTAAAACATAAAGTTGAACATGGCTGTTGAAATAAAGAACAACAGTCAATATTTTCAAAGTGCAATAAATACATGGCCCTGTAAGCCACGAAGAACATCAAATTATTCATACATTAAGAGAGAATAAAAATAACTGTTGACAAGAGCTAATACAGCAAACCATTGCATAAGACCATGCTTTTCCATGTTTCGGTGCAATTGTGCATGTACTTATTACAACATGAGTTAAGATATATTGGCATGAGCATAAACAGAATATTTGGAATTTACCTAAAAAATGCACTAACTCTTGTTTTCTTTTAAATAGTTCTGTTACATTTGCGAGAGTGAGACTGTTACTGTGTCAGACCTTCATCTTGATTTCTAAGAGTTGTTGTTGTTGGCATGCTAACTATTGTGTTGACTATAAGTTTCATCATCTCATGAAATTACATTTTGAGTAGCAGTATATACAATAATACTTGGTAATATAAAGAAATTTTCTCAAATACAATTGCATCCCGACACATAACATAATATTTTCAAATTGTTTGATGAAAGAAATGATTGAAACATTCACTTTAGGTAAGCTTGATCCTCACATAATATCACTTAAATTTTCTCAACAATGCGTAGTAGCAGTAGTGATTCAGCAAAATAGTGCAAAATAAGAAAAGCATCAAAACGAACGACAAATCAGTCAAGATATCAAATATGAAATGTCTTGCTACATAAGAGCCACTCTATTGAATATTTTTGTACCACACATATCTCACTGCGCATGTGATTACCATAGTGGCAGCCAGTCAATTGCTTTTTTTGACCAATAGGTAAGCTTGAGATGGGAAACAAAAGCCACTAATCTAATTAAATACACAGCAACAAGTTGCACAGCCAAGTGGACCTACTGTACATTTCCTATAGTGTGGTATTACTTTACTATGACTATAGGAGCCTTGGCTATATCGTTAATCCATGAGGCCTCCTCACAGATCCATCAATACTCCAAGTTTCCTTGGCAACTGAGGAATTCACCAATCAGAATACTTGGATTTGATTTTTTGATGGATATGTAAGTTCATTATCTTATTTGAGGTAAACTTAGCCTTCATTAAAAAACGGCTTAGCTTTCAGGCTTATTAATTCAGTTTGTTTTGTTTTCGTTTGACTTAGCCAAAGTAAAATATGTGAAACTGGACTAACTATTAATTAAATTAGCTTCAGCAAATGAAACTGTTTGAATAAATTATTCAACATTACTTAAGTACCAAAATTTAAAGCACATGGGCATTTTCTACATTAGTCGCATGACAGATTTGATGACTCATAGATCCGCACCTCATAGGTACTAATGGCTAACAGACAGATGGCCTGTAGCAGTTACATTTTGCCTCTGGTTAGAGACTGATGCAAGCTTAATAAACTATTAAACTCTAGTTATCATAAAAATTGTCTGCCATTTCAAAAAAGCAATATCCAATTAAAGAATTAAATTAATTAAAAAGGCTTCAACATTCAGCTTTGTAAGAGACTTTGCCAACAAGATTTTACTCACCACTAAATTTAATGTTTGCATCTTTGAATAAACTTTTTGCAAATGATTTCACTCCACCACCCTAAGTAAATAAGTTTTAATGATACACAACTCTCATTCCAAATAGTCCACAAAATACACTTATATAAAGACTGAATAAAAGTTCCAGCATGATGATATCATCTGGCAATGCTACCTGTACCATACACATTGGGGAGTATTGTTATCATAGAACACGAATTAGGGTTGGATTATGGTTAGGGTTGGTATAGCTGGAAGCTTAGCTATCAATGTGGACAGCCATTTTATAATCATTTCTACATCAAAGTAGGAGCGAATATTACAGGCATTACAAAAACGAAAAGAATAACAAAATGATAAGCTAAAAAGGAAAGATGCGAAACACGGAGCCAAATTTAGTGGGCCAGCCAGGATTCATTCGGCTTACAGCAAATTAAACACTTTCGAAAAAAATATAAAGTTGGCAAAAGTTTCTGTGACAGATTTGGTGCAACCAAGCACATGACATACCAATTGCCTCTCATGAATGTGCTTAATATAAAAGCTATTCAACTACGTATAAACCGTGGAATGGAAAATGCGACAATTGGGATACAATAAAAAACACGGTATTGTTCTTTACCTTCTGAAAAACAAATTCTTTGATTCCATACTCTGGAACAGAATAGACAACGTGAATGGAAGTACAAAGACAAATCAACCACAAGAATGATTTCAACGCCATATTAGAGAGCTTACGATGACACGAAAAGTTTGCGACGACGTCTGCCGTTCTAAAGAGCAAAACTACGCATGCGCAAATGATTGGCGCGTCGCAGCCATTGAGTTCTATAAGACCTGAGGGAAAAGGGCCAGGACCCCGTGGTCAAAAACATGGCGGTAATGGCGGATTTGGGTGGTCAAAACTTCTTTCAAAAGTGATGGAGTTCTAGCTTTGCTATCAGCTATCAACCCTTCAGAGGCATTGTTAGTCCGGGGCTGAAACGCTGTTTTTAAAGGGTACCTCGACAAAAATACTAAGTGCAACTTTTTTCCAGAAATGTGTTCAGGGACCATATGAAAGTATTTTAGGACATGTTGCCACTTCCCAAACCCTGGGCAAGTCCTAGATATTGACCTCCTGTAAATAGCGGTAATAGCCTAGATAATAGTCATAGATAATATTCACCGGTAATAGTCCTAGATATTGACCTCCTGTAATAGCGGTAGGTATAGGTAGCACCTATACCTACCGCTTTATTTAAAGACACTGGTGAAGGTAGATACCCCACAGCTAAAGCTGATTTAAAAAATGCGTTAAAAGTAGACGTTTCAGTGAGAAATATTAAACCAGAAGCAACACTGATTGATGGATGTGCAATGATCCATTGCGCTTTATACTGGCCAAAAGGTGGTAAAGTGTCTGATTTATTGGTTTCTTTACGGTCGTATATTTTAAAGATCTTAGCTCAAACAGATGTTTATCTTGTGTTCGACAGGTACCATGATTATAGCATTAAATCAGATACCAGACAAGAAAGGTTATCTCAATTCCGACGATCTCATAACCTTAGTTCTTCAAGTCCTCTTCCAGCAAAAGAGATAGCCATGAAAGTGACAGATACTAAAAAGCAATTAATTGAGATGGCAAAAGATGACTTGCTCAAGAATATTCCAAACCATTCAAACAAACTGATCATTACAGCAGAAGCTGAAACACCATATCAAGTACATTTAGGAGTTCAGACGATAAGAAATGGTCTAAAGTCAAGACAGGAGGAAGCTGATGTGATTATCCCTTACCAAGTATCAGAAGCAATAGCCGATGGAAAAAAATCTGTTAAAGTAATTTGTGAAGACACTGATGTTTTTGTTTTGCTTTGTCACTGTTATAACATTAGAAACTGGAACATAGATGTTTATATGACTGATTTCACAGAAGGAAAAACATTATATCAATAAACGATACAGTAAAGAAACATAAACCATTGATCCCTGAATTGTTATCTGTACATGCTCTATCTGGTTGCGACACTGTACCAATGTATTTTGGAATAGGAAAAAAGAAAGCTCTAAAAGTCGCTGCCACGTTGAAGTTATCTTTTCTTGGTGAAATAGATGCCACTGAAGATCAGTACTTATCAGAATCAAGAAAATTTATTGCTGCATGTTATAGTGCAAAATATGAGAGTTCCTCAAAAAATAGGTACATCCAACTATTATAGTACATATTTTATTTTGAAGATAACTTATGTTTCTTTCAAAATGTAATAATAAGCCTCTAATTATTACTGTACTAATCTAAACAAATTTTGTTTCGGATTGTCTTTCTAATAAACTATAAGTTTCTGTTTCTTGCTGTAAAAAGATTAGGACGCTATTAATTTTGCTTCCATTGATGTTGAAAATAAAACTTACATCGTAAACATATAACTGAAAGCTGACTATATGTTTTAGCTTTGGTAATTATATGTTTTGATATGCTTTTTCTCCTATTTTTAAGCTTAGACAGGTAATTTGGCAACGAAGAACCAAAGGAGCCAAAATAACGTCAAAACCTCCTGCTTTGAAATCCTTGCCACCAACAGATGACGTCCTTGATTTCAATATCAAACGTGCAAGATACCAACGTCTGATTTGGGGCTCCTGCCTTCAGTGTGATCCTCCGGCATATGACCCATGTAAGGTAGGGAAAAAAGACTTCTTATATCAATAACATATTGTGTCATGGAGGTGGGAAAAATGAATTTTACCCACAAATATATATGATTTAAGAATTCTTTTGTACTTTGGTTGGTTAAAAGATACTGAAACCAAAACGTTACAACCAATTATGATGCCTAGGGGAATGAAAGCTGCTCCTGATGAAGTGCTCAAAATTAACAGCTGTGGCTGCTCAGGTACTACTTTTAAATATAAAAAGCAATTCTTAGAAAAAATATTCCCAATCAAATACCTTCAATTTTAAATTAACTTGCAAACTTCAACGTTCATAAACATTGATTAAAGTTGTTATTATAGTTTTTCTTCTGAACGAAGTGTCATTAATATTTCATAGTAGGATTGACCATCACAACTAAGCATTTAAGGTAAAATAAATGCTGGGAAAATATGCTTTAAAAATTATATTTAATATTTAGTTTTTAAATGCAAGTCAATGGCCTGTTCCTGTGCAAAGTCACAGATTGGATGCACAGAACATTGTAAATGCGAGGGAGATTGTCGAAATATATGGAATGCCGGTGTCTATGCGGAAGATGATGGTGATAATTCTGGAGAAGAAGAATCAGCAAGTGAAGATGAAAATGAAACATGATAGACAATGTGATAGGATAATGTTTTATTAACCTGTTTTCAAAAATTAATGAAACATATATTGTAAATGTCACTTAATCGGTGTATATTTGGGTTTTTTAGTGAAAAAATGTTATGAATTGGCCTATCCAAAAGTTTTAATATCATCTAAATATATTGATTTGCATTAAGATTCGCTAAATAAAACGTCTTACAGGAGCTTATGCTAAAAAAATGAGATAAGAAGTATTTTTGACTATCAAGTATTGAAATTTTGGTACCAAGGAATACACGGTTTTTCCGATTTTTCCCATTTTGCTAGTAGGTTATATTTTGCACTTGCCCAGGGTTTGGGAAGTGGCAATATGTCCTAAAATACTTTCATATGGTCCCTGAACACATTTCTGGAAAAAAGTTGCACTTAGTATTTTTGTCGAGGTACCCTTAACTCAGCCCCTGACTATGTCCACCATGCGATCACTAAACTCGATAGCGGTATTAGCACACCATTTTCCGTCTTTAGTGTCTGAAGATCAGTTGGATGAACTTGATTATCATTGGAGGCAATTGTTATATGCCACAGATTCTCTTAAAGGTATAGCTAACTCCCCAACTCAGTTTTGGGATGAGATCAGAGTTATTAAAGATGGTAACGGAAATAAGAAGTTTGAACTTTTGGGAAATTTTATGTGCAACCTTCTTGTTTTACCTCACTCATCAGCCAGTGTCGAGAGAAACTTTTCCCAAGTTAACATAATAAAGACTCCTCAAACCAACCGCCTACATTGCTCAACTTTGAGAAACAGACTAATTCCAAAACAAGCTATTGCTCGACAAGGTGCATATTGCTACACATGGGAGCCGTCAACTAAACTTGTAAGACGTACAATTTGGTCATTGTCGGAGAGAGAATTTTAATAAGCATGGTCAGCGTCAGGAACAGAAAGAAAATGCAACTAATGTTTATGACATTATAAGCGAAAAGATTGCTGAAATAGGGTCTGGTTAGCATGCTTGACAATTTTATGTACTGTTATGTTTCACGAACTTTCCTTGATCATGTAAAAAAATTGTATTAACTATCGTTTTTTATACCATTTATGATTTGAAGTAATATAAAAACAAAAATGATACGTCAATGGCGTACCCATGCCAAAGGAACTCCTCGGAAACAACTGTTTTGCTGTACCTGGAGGATCTTGGGATATTTTAAAGGATCTTGGGACTTTTATTCCCAAAATCTTTTGAATTTCTAAAATAATGGATAAGATTGTACGTCCAGGTAATTATTATACATGTCAGTGGTTTCGACTTTATTCCAAAGCAATCATCAGATACTAGTTCGAGATACTAGTCTGCCGCTCTACCAGTTGAGCTACCAAGCTTACAGGGATTGGACACGAGTCAAATTTCTCTTAAACTGCGTATGGACGAGAAGTTCTCGCCACAGTTTTCTGGATGGCACAGTTTCGACTTTTTCCAATGCCATATTATCAGAGAATATATATAATAATAACAATATATCATTTTATGACGGTTTTATAAGCACATTTGAACTTCGAAAGTTGAAAGTCGCAAAGCGAGCAGCTGCTAAACTGAATCAAGAATTCCATCATTGAGCAATTATGGAAAATTCTACGAACGAACGGATGGATACTGTGTTAACAAAGGTCTGGATTGATTCTGTAGTTGGAGTAGTATATAGAGCGTCGTTTCTGGCGCACCTCACACCCTGAGACCTAGTATACGCAAATCTCAGCACCTCAGCCCTAGTTCGCGTACGTGGCTCTTGTAACTATGATAGCATACAGTAAGAACAAAAATCGCACCGGATAGCAAAGGCCAAACCCAGGAGCCAAAAACGGGCGGCCCACCCCCAGCGCCCGTGCGGCCGGCCGTGGGTCATTTGAAGAAAGACGGTTCACAGCGTATATCCAAACGTTCAACAGCCATGAGGCAGGGCAAGAACAAGTGCGCGTGGGTGAAGGTCCACACTAGAGAACCGTGTGGAAAGTCATGTGTGGGAAAGAACAGTGGAGTGCATCTGCAACAAATCCAGCGTGACTCGCCGGTGCCGGTCCCATGTCGGGGTTGTGGTATCAGCACGCAGGCAGAGGTGCAACGATGCGCAGATTGTGACCAGCAAGCCGGAAAAGCCGCCTTCGTAGAAAAGAGGCCCGAGCACGAAGGCAGTTTAGCCTGGTCCTCGGTGAGGTGGATGCCGGGAATTTCCATTTTAAGAAGGGCGTATGGTAGGTTATATTCACTGAATTTTCATTGTATGGTAGGCTACATCCATTAAGAGAATAGCGTACGATAGGTTGTATTCACTGATATGGATACTGTTAATAAATTTCTGCAACTATATGACCAAGGTGTAATCAGCGGACACGCGCTAAACGCCTCTCTTAAGGCTCTTCAACCGACCACTGCCTCAACACCCACGCCAAGAAATGTCACTCCACCTATCCCCAAACCGCGCAAGCGCCG